AAGAGAACACTAAAACGAATTTCTCTCTCACCTCGTGTAACGTCACTGGTATTCTGCCAAAGCACACCAATTACTCCATATTTGGGCTGCTGAATCTGGGATAAGGAAGAAGTCGTCTTAAAAATACTTTTAGAAGTAGTTACGACTGCAGAAACCGGTAGAATACGTCAAGTTTCTGTTCGAAGAAGCAAAACACGGTGACTCCATGAACAGAATTTGAACCACATGTCACACTGACTCAAGGTGTGAGGCAAACATGAATGAATAATTAATTTTTGCGACAATTTTTATCTCGCCCTTCGCTCCCTGCATAAATAAATCACAAAAATTTCTGAGAGGTTCATATTTGCCCCAATGATTCTTTGGTAGAATCACATTTAAAAGGGAAGGGAGGAAGAGTAATTGTTTGAAGAGAGATTTATCTATTTTTTACATTTGAAAAGGTTTGCACTCGCCTAGCAGACTACTGCGGGGGAGAGGGTGGGGAAGGGTAGGGGAGGGGTAAGGGTTAAGTGGTTATCGTTCGTTTTTATTTCGGTATCCAAAATTTAGGATTTCTGCTACAGTTTTACAAGACCATTATTTTCAGTTTCCAGTGCTCCAAACTGCGATCGTTAAGTTAACTACTTAAGTTTCATTCTCATTTCATAATTCTAAGTCTGGCGAGTTATACGCGTACAACGACATCTGTTGACATCAGTTGATATTGATGGATCCTATTGTGAAATCTGTCATTCGTTCCAAGATGAACATCAATCGTATTCCATAACCCTAATTGATAATTTATGCAGTCCTAGTGGCTGATTGTGTAAACTATTTTACCCAACAACGGATAGTAAATGCTTCAAGCTCTAGGAAAGCGGAGGAGGGTTTACACGTGACGCATGATTAAGGCTAAAATTGATATAAACGTGACGCGTGTATTTCAAAGAAGGCGAGCGTGATTCGTGAATTTATGAACGAGCGTGAGGCGTTCTCACATTTTATCTACCTTTTTACAAACATGCGATACTGGGAAATTTTGATGCACCAATTATTCTGAAATTGAGCGCTTTCCTTTGTTCGGAGTGATATACTTGTCTATTTTCTTTAAAGTACGTGCCAACGAATTTCAAATACCTTTAGCGAAGTTTTGAAGTTAAACTACAAAACGTACCAAAGAAGGTATCTAAGTAGCTTCCATGTCAACAGAAGCAGTCTCTTTGAGACCAATCCAGTTATCAGCTCCCGAGTATAACCTAGATTAAAAAAAAAAACAAACAAAAAAAAAAACCAAAAATGTCCAATTGCGTGAGTACCATCCGTCAGAATAAAATCCACCAGAAGTTATAAATGCATCTGTAACAGTGCGTAAGATATCGAGGCAATGATCTATCATAACAGAAAGCTAACAATGCGCATGACACTTAAGTGACGATCGATCAAAAGAGAAAGTAAACAGTGCGTGAGATACAAACGTAGCGATCAGAAAAAAAAAAATCCTAACAGTGTGTGAGATACCAACGATCAATCAAAGTGGAAGGTAACAGTACACAAGATATTTAAATAACATTCGATCAAAAGAGAAAGCTAAAAGTGCACGAGATAGTAAATGACGATCTACAGCAAGAGAATCTTACAGTGCGCAAGATGCTAACGTAACAATCCAACAGAAGATGATGTTTACAATGCGCGAGATATAGAGGATATTACATGGCCGCGTGGGGATACGAATTTTATCTTCGAGTACTGAAAGTATCTCTCACAAGTGATGAAATTTCAGAAGAACCGGCCGCGCGCCTGAGTAGAAAGCTCTCTTGTTGTCGGCTAATTATGTTAGTAACCATGGCGACACCAATATCCTCACTCGTGAAGGATAAAAATAGTCTCTTCACTGCGCGCGATGAAGACATGATTTTTCAGTAAAAGGAAAAATCCTGGTATCTATATAATAAACTAACGTAACAATCCAAGGAAAGGGAATCTTTACAGTTCGCGAGATACTAACGTAACAATCTAGCAGAGAAGGATCTTTAAAATGCGCAAAATACTAACATAATACAACAAAAGGAAATCTTTACAGTGCTCGAGATACAAACGTAACAATCCAACGGAAGAAAATCTTTACCATGCGCGATATACTATTATAAAATAATTCAAATAGTACGCGCGCTCTGATTGGCCATAAAACCATTTTACATACGCGTATGTAAACACGGTTTTCGTTCTTCTTTCATTAATTATTTTATAAAAGAAATATAAAATGGTTTCCGTGTTTACATAGCCTGATGTAAACACTTGGGAGGTTGGGAGAACACTCGATAAGCTAATAAACCACTCCACTTCGCGTCGTGGTTTCCTACGCTTATCTCGTGTTCTCCCAACCTCCCGCGTGTTTACATCAGGCTATGTAAACACGGAAACCATTTTACATTTCTTCAACGTAACAATCTAACAAAAGGAAATCTTTTCAATGCGTGAGATACTAACGTAATTATCCAACAGAAGAGAATCTTTACAGTGCGCGAGTTACTAACGTAACAATCTAACAAAAAAAAAATCTTTTCAATGCGTGAGATACTAACGTAACAATCCAACAGAAGAGAATCTTTACAGTGCGCGAGATACTAACGTAACAATCCAACTACAGGGAATCTTTACAGTGCGCGAGATACTAACGTAACAATCCAACAGAAGAGAATCTTTACAATGCGCGAGATACTAACGTAACAATCCAACAGAAGAGAATCTTTACAGTGCGCGAGATACTAACGTAACAATCCAACAGAAGAGAATCTTTACAATGCGCGAGATACTAACGTAACAATCCAACAGAGGAGAATCTTTACAGTGCGCGAGATACTAACGTAACAATCCAACAGAAGAGAATCTTTACAGTGCGCGAGATACTAACATAACCCAACAGAAGAGAATCTTTACAGTGCGCGAGATACTAACGTAACAATCCAACAGAAGAGAATCTTTACAGTGCACGAGATACTAACATAGCCCAACAGAAGAAAATCTTTACAGTGCGCGAGATACTAACGTAACAATCCAACAGAAGATAATCTTTACAACGCGCAAGATACTAACGTAACAATCCAACAGAAGATAATCTTTACAACGCGCGAGATACTAACGTAACAATCCAACAGAAGAGTCTTTTCAATGCGCAAGATACTAACGTAACAATCCAACAGAAGAGAGTCTTTTCAATGCGCAAGATACTAACGTAACAATCCAACAGAAGAGAGTCTTTTCAATGCGCAAGATACTAACGTAACAATCCAGCAGAAGAGAGTCTTTTCAATGCACAAGATACTAACGTAACAATCCAAGAAAGGGGAATCTTACAGTGCGCGAGATACTAACGTAACAATCCACCAGAAGAGTCTTTTCAATGCGCAAGATACTAACGTAACAATCCAAGAAAGGAGAATCTTACAGTATGCGAGATAATAACGTACAATACAGCAAAAGGGAATCTTTATAGAGCGCGAGATACTGGCGTAACAATCCAGCAGAAGAGGATCTTTTCAATGTGCAAGATACTAACGTAACAATCCAACAGAAGAGAGTCTTTTCAATGCGCAAGATACTGACGTAACAATCCAACAAAAGAGAGTCTTTTCAATGCGCAAGATACTAACGTAACAATCCAACAAAGGGGAATCTTTACAATGCGCCAGATACTAACATATCAATCCAGCAAAAGGGAATCTTTATAGAGCGCGAGATACTGACATAACAATCCAACAGAAGAGAATCGTTACAATCCGCGAGATGCTAACGTGCAATCGAACAAAAGGGAATCTTTACAGTGCTCGAGATACTAACGTAACAATCCAACAATAGGGAATCTTTACGGACCGCGAGATACTAACGTAACAATCCAACAGAAAAGAATCTTTACAACGCGCGAGATACTAATATAACAATCCAACTACAGGGAATCTTTACTGTACGCGAGATACTAACGTAATAATCCAACAGAAGAGAATCTTTTCAATGCACGAGATACTAACGTAATAATCCAACAGAAGAGAATCTTTTCAATGCGCGAGATACTAACGTAATAATCCAACAGAGAATCTTTTCAATGCGCGAGATACTAACGTAATAATCCAACAGAAGAGAATCTTTTCAATGCACGAGATACTAACATAACACGCGAGATCAGCTAACGTAACAATCTAACTAAAAGGAATCTTTAAGGTGCGCGAGATACTAACGTAACAATCAAACAAATGAGAACCTTTACAGTGCGTGTACGCCCCCATAGCTTGACCTGGCGAAGTGAACTTCCAGTAGGTTTGAAAAAACAAAACAACACAAAACAAAACAAAATGAAACAGTAAAAAAAAAAAATGGAAAAAGAACGAAAAGCAACAACAACAACTGGTTTTCCATCACGTTATTGCAACATCTTTGAATTGTAATTTATTTTCAGACGAATTGCAACCACGAGAAAATTCTCAGCAAAAACAGGAAAAATACTGACAGAATACCTAAGTGTTAAGGAAAAGTGGGAAGCAGGATAATGTCGGTCAGCGGCTGTATTCGCAGGTTGAGAGAAAAAAGAACAGGAAAAAATTATACTTTTAGCGCACCTTATTAGGCTTGCGCCTCACCTCAGCGTTTACCTTGTTCAAAGCCCGAGGTGAGGAATCTAAATCTAGCGAGCTAACGATTAACATTTGTAATCTGCAACAAGTGTAACAACGAAATCTTAAACTTCGGCTGGATCGAAGGGGTGACCACTGAGACGAGAATTAATACTTAACCCTTTACACCCTAACATCAGTATACAATTTCTTCGTACTGTTTTCTATGCATTTCCTATGGTGACGACAAAGAGAATTTGTTTAACAATCAAAGCTTCTTTAGTTGGTGATCAGTTCCTTTATTCTCATGACCTCGATGTTTGTTTTAGGGGTGATATGATAGGAGAAAATAGTTACTTATCACTCTTAGGGGTTAAAGGGTTATTAAGGATACCAAACAGTTAAACAGAGCAGTTATTCAAAGTGTGATTTATTCATGACTTGTATAAAATTCCTAATATCCTTTCAATTCTCTCATACTAGCAATTTTTTTGAAATTCAATGTATGTCTACCTTGTAAAGTTTCTAACTCTGACTTAATCAATGATCACCTGGTTAAAGTTGGTAAGCAAATCAAGTTCACAGAACTTTCTAACAACAGTACACAACAGTAGTACTTTCTAACAACAGTAGTCTGGATTCTAAACTAGATGTATTGGGGAAAGGGGTTTAATTTAAAGTTACTTTGATGGTTTCCATTAAAACATCACAACAATGTACTTCATACAGTATCTGTGTACTCTGATTGATCTGTCAGAGCATTAAATGAAATAAATATAAATAATATATGTTATCCAGTAAGTAAGGAATTCTTCTTAACCCATGAAACAAGCTGATCTCTGCTAGAATGTTGCAAATAAAATTCAGAATGTTTCAAGTCCAGCTTGAATTCATGGGTGGAGTTAAATCATTGTTGGTACATTTGAAACTGAGGTACAATGAAAGAGAGATTTTGCATCAACCCAAGAATTTCATAAAAATTGATTGTGGTGCATCATCTTTTTATAATTGATCTTGTGTGTCTGGAAAATAACTGGCCTGGATGATCTTCTCAGTTTGGTCAAGTCTATTCAAATAATCAAGCCTCTTTGTAAAGATCGTTAAAAACTACATGGCCAAACTGAAAATTCTTGCCACAAATGAGCATTTCCCATTTACTCATAATTCTCGCTTAATCAGGATTTGAGTAAAATAAGTTAGGTATTTTAGATCCCCTTGAGGGATTATGATCCTGTTTAGATTTAAACTTTTGTCCATCCTATCCCAGAGTTTTGAATGCTTTCTTGTAAAAAATTTCTCAACCTTCTCCTGAACTTTGCATATTTTTCACTATTCTCCATAAGCCTCTTAAACAATAAAGGGACTGGAGAAGTCTAAAATATCACTTTAAATGGTTGGCTCTCCCATATTCACAGCAACTCAGATTACTATAATCATGCAATAATCATATATTATCATGCTTCAGCAGCCATTCGTTGAGACGTTCCTTCTCTCAGTTCCACTGTTTTCTCAAGTGTTTCCCAAAGGCAGTTCCCTTTGATAAAGTCATTGTCAACTAAATTGACAAGGTAATAGTTGTTATAGATGTCATCAATGACTCTTCTCGATTGCGAGTCTTCTTTGTAGAGTCGACCCCACCGTTGATCCCAAAGATCAAATGCTTCATCCTAAATAGAGGAGATAAGCAAAAGGACTTTCTTAAAACTTAAAATCTATACAAACAATTATGATTTAAGTCTAAACCCTTGATAGACTAAATGGATCAACTTCATTATCTGAGAAACAGCGCACCTACCCCTCCCCTAACTCAACAACAGTGTTCTCCTTCTCAGGCAGTAACTGGTAACATTTACCACCTGTAGTACCTCTTATTACTGTTTAAAATTGATTGGAATTCTGGAAAATTTCAACAGGTAAAAGGATTGCTTTACCGGTTTGAAAATTTATTTTACCTGTCATGCTTAAAATAAGGGAGAACACTGTAATAAGTTAGGGTTATTATTAGGTTAGGGAAGGGGTAGGTGTGCAGTTGATCAGATACTTACTTTGATACAATTAAAGACATAAGTCAGTCAAGCAATTGAAATAAAGAAAAGTTAATTTCATTATAAGTTGTTATCAAGTTCCTCTACAGGAAAGAAGAACCCTTTAAAATTTGTCCTGCTCCTTACAGGTGGCTTCCTAGCTCTATTAGTAGTAGAACCCAGCTAGTATCTAGGAGGCATGGGTTTGATCCAGTTGAAGCCAAAATCTTGTCAGGCTTCTTTTCAGCAACTGCTAAAATTGCAGGCTACTTGCAAAGATTCTTTCCTTGCTCGAGAGATCAGTTAGACTGTCATCAAAGGCTTTCAGTCTCTGACCATTTACTAGATGATAAAATTAAGATGCATGGACTTACTTTCCAAGACTCAAAACTGATAGGATCCACAACTGTTGGTTGATAAATCTCTTTTCCAGGAAACACACCCCATGTGACAGCAATGGGTGATAGCTCGTCAGAATTGGTTACATTCACTGAGCCCTGATAAAAAAAAAAAGCATTAAAAAAATGGAGTGCTTAGCCTTTCCTCTGCTCAATAACAACGGGGCATGTTTCCTACATACTCAAATAAACTTCTATCACTTCAAGTTAAAAATTATTGGGATATTCACTAAATGGGATGGATACATATAGATCTACACTACAAAGAATTAAACTGTACTCCCAGCTTACCTCTCTGTTCACAAAATGATAATTAACTTGTGGGTAGTCTTTTAAAACTTCAAGAAGGATGTCAACGTTTTCTTTGCAGGTGAAGAACTCTAGGTAGGCCTGCAATTTGAAAGTGTTGTTAATCAAATATACATCTAACTCAGATTACAACTGAATTTGAAGATAAACATTGGCTCTACAAGCTTTATATTCAAATGCAGGCTTGTAGATTGTACTTTGAAATAATACTAGACAAATGGTAAAAAGGCTTCATTAAGAATGTTAATACACATACATGTACAAATACATAAAGAAGTGAAACTAGCAGTCTGGCTCAGCATATTTAGATCCATAATTTTCAACACTGCACTAAAAAAGGCTTTAATGATGCCACTCCTGTTACCAAGGTCACTTACACATAAAATTCCCCATCAAACCAAAGAAACAAACAATAATTTAAACCAAAATCAATTGTGCCAATCAATGTTAGGTGCAATGGAAGCAAAGATAAAAAAATCCAGATAGAAATAATTTCTTATTTTTCTGATAGTAATGGTTGTTAACACCAGTTGAACTGCAAAATCTTGTTTTGTATAACAAGAAAGTAATGGATGAGGTAGGGCATGATACCATGAATTATTAATGCTAAGGTCCCAGTTATCTTCTTAAGCCAAAGACTGAGGCAGAGAACACAGACAAGAGGTTTAATAATTCATGATATCAAGCAAAAACCAAACTCAATATGTGTTTTATTATACATTCTTTTAAACAATCTACAAAAGAAGACACCTCTCTCAGAGTTTGCAGAAAAGGGGTTTGAGAACACTACACAGATGAGGGGCTCAGAAACTAGGCAGACTTTGAATTATCATGTCGACTTCACGCGCTATTGTATATAGACTGTATGCTCTCAACCAATCAGATTTCTCATGGTAAGTCTAATGTCTAGTAATATTACTTACCTTCTGGTAGATATATCCACCACTTCCCCCCCAGCCTACCAGAGGGTCGCTTGATGGTTTGGCATTCACATGAGGCTGACTGTTGATTGTTAGAAATCCATGGCTGTTGAGAAATTCAAGCTTCTCTCTGATCAAGGCTGTTTCTGGAGCAATGGTGTCATCATTCCAGGGAAGTGATTTCACCTGAAAAATTGATTTGATATTCTATGCTTACCACTGAGATTTATCAGGTTGTATCATTCTATCTTAAGTCCCTTCACAGTTTTTGACTGTTTATGTTCCATAAATTTAAATAAATTATCAGTATTCTGCATTCTATTCTTTTCAAAGTCACCATTAGGAGACCTTAAATCATGAAATGGTAGTCAGGAAATAAATTGGGTCTCCATTAGAAAAGAAAAGAAAAATATGAAAAAGACACTTTGTGCATTACTACTGAAAAAAAAATATTGTTACTTCCAAACTGCAAATAAATTCAGTTTCAAAAGGTGTTTTGAAAGGTGTTTCATACATGATGACCAAAATGGTTAAAGCTTGGAATGCTGATTATAATTCATCAGTGAAATACCTTAATTAAAACCAACTGTTACTAATATTCTTCTATTATTCACACACACACACATGATCTTCCCCACAGATTTGATTTTTTTCATTTCAATTACCTGCACACCATTTTGATTGTTTTCCCCAGAGATGTAACATCTGAAAACCTCAAATACATCTTCTACGGAAGTGAGTTCTCCTCCCCACATTTTCAACAAGTCCTCTTTCTTGATTTTGCTCCGTAAATAAAACAAGTGATGATCACTCAAGTCGCCGAAGGCTGGTGATGATGAATTTCCCCATCTACCATTAGGATACTCATCCCAGTCTGATGTGCGATACATATAACTCTTTGGTCGAGAAGCCCAGAAGATTGGTCTCACATCCTCACACACCCTTTTCTTGTTTGCAGAGGGCTTCCAAGGCAATGGTCTGCTGGCAGCGGGATCCTGGCACCACAGTCCCAAAGCTGTCAAAATTTCTCGAGTAGCAACTTCTCGATTTAGGGTGTAAAAGTGTAATCCAGGAACGTCATCACTTTCTAAAAGTTCACGTGCCATTTGGATTCCAAGCTCTACCCCATATTTACGTATAGCCTCATCATCATCTTTGATAGGTTCAATGGCATCCACAATCCATTGTGGAACTTCTAACCTTGAAAGCTTGACGAGATGACGCAAGGAAGCATAACCCTGTAGAGTCACGTTGAAATCAAGAAATTGAAACAAGACAGCATTGAAAATCGCCCTACTCCCAGAAATGATTGACATGTTTAACCTCTCCCAATAAGATCCATACATTACCCAATGAAAGGTAAAGATAATACACAAACTCATCAGGTAGAAGTTGTTATCTTGATTTAATTCTTGTAACTAATTTACAAGGGTATTGTATTGGCAATTATGACTAACCTGAATGGGCATAATGCCAGGTATGATTGGTACAGTTATACCAATATCTCGGCAATCCTTAACAAATTTGAAGAATGTTTTGTTCTCAAAGAACAGTTGTGTAATGATGAAATCTGATCCAGCATCTACTTTCTCCTTCAAATGTTGAAGATCTTCCTCATATGTGGGGCAGTCTGGGTGACCATTTGGGTAGCCTAACAAGATGACAACTTTATTTTAGAGAAAAGCTTTCTTCTAAAGCTTCAGTAAACATCAATGCACATCAGACAATCAATTGGAACATGTCCAAAAATGCAAATTTAATATAGCATTTCCTAACACAAGGTTATCTATCCTTCCAAATGAAAAGCCTCACAGATGTGAGAGCTTGGCTGGTAAAACTTCATAGTAGGTTTGGAGGATATTTGAACAAAATGCAACTGCTTCCAGAGCTATGAAAATACTCCATTCTTGTGAAGAAGATGTTACATTTCAAATTGATTAAAGTTTGTGGGAGGGATTAACATTACTTCAAAAAGATTGTCATTCTTTTTTTTGCTGTTGTTGTACTAATAGACAGGGCACATTAAACAAAGGGTCGGAGAACAAAGCCAGGATAGCAAAAGAAGATATGAAGAACCAAGTTATCAAACTATGTAAGATACAATCATGGTTTCATCTACTCACTCACCTGCCACACAAATGGTGAAAGTATCTCCAAACTCTTGGCGGATGTGTTTAACCATATCTGTGCCGTAAGCCAAACCATCATCAAGTGCTTGCCACTCCTCCCCATTGGGTGGATCTGAAAATGCGAGAGTTTTGGAAAATTGAAAATCAATTGGATAATGCTTTCCAAAATTATAATAAACACCACAACCACATGTATATACACACTTTTGTATATGAAATAACAAAAAACAGTTTACAGTTCACTAACAAATAAAAATTTCCTGAGAGAATACTTATGTACTGTAGCAACTGATAGGGCTCTATGCTGTGATAAATGCTGTTCTGTACATTGTAAGATGGGGCCAGCCAGCCCAACAAGCACTGTTCCCATGGGTAGTGGACTCATTTTAAAATGCCAACACCTCAACTCAACTCAACAATCAGAACTCTAATTGTGAGGAATACATGTATATAGTTGTGAAAGGGTCAAAAGATATGCATCAGTTGTAGAATCACTTTTTTTTTTTCATAGCATAATAACAAGCACTTACCACCTCGAAGAGCAAGAATGTTTCTAATTCCCAATGCTTTAGCTTTCATCAAGTGCTTAGTCACTGTATCTTTCACTGTATTAGCACAAGAAATGTGCAACATAGTTTCAAGTCCACAGTAGTTTAAAGCGGCACTGGCTATTGTCATGGAACTTGTTTCCTTATCCCCACCAGGGTCTCCAGCAGGATGCCATGTCACATCACAAAATAATGGGCATCCCATAGAAATCCTGTCAAACTTGGCAATCAAGTTCACTGCTCCATTTGGAGTTCTTGGAGGAAAAAATTCCAAGCTGAAGAATTTTTCTTTAGCTACAATTTTCTGATTGATTTTTTCAATCAGTGTTAGGGGCGATGAAGGAACAGATGGTGTATTGCTTTTCGATCCCTGGTCATTATTCACACATTGAAGTAGTTCCATAGCAGGGGCTGTGTCTTGACGTCCAAATCCCATTGTTTATGAATGCAAGTATGTCTGCAAAAAAAAAAAACTATTTTAGGTTAGTGCAATACTAAGCTGAAAGGTAAGTCTCTGAGCTGGAGCAAAGTGATTATATTTAATCTTATTTAAGTATTGATAATACATTTCCAAAACAATAGAATTTTGTATTATGTCTTTTGAAATTTATTTAATCTTAAATCATTTTCTGCAATATTTTAATTCCAAGGACTTAAGCACCGTAACAGTTGTACCTGTCCACTGAAAATCCTCTTGAAAAAAGGTGTCAGTAGTTTTTAAAATACAAAAAAGGTATCAAGAGCAAGACTGAGTGAACAGTGATACAGACTGACGCAGCCAAAACAATCAAAACAATAAAATATTATCATATCATCAATGTAAATTTCGAATTTTATTTTAGGATTGCATCATTCTTACTCTCAAGTAAGCAACCAAACGAAAATAGACTGTATCGTTAAATTTTCAATATTAATACAGCTTCGATGGCATTGTTAGTGAAGTGCTGGCACTTTACATATAGCTTTAGCTTTGGACCTTGAATATTCAGTTACCGCGATGAAATTTTTGCTACAAACAAATAAAATTAATAGCATTGTTTATTAGCATTGCTTAACAAATTCGTGTAAAACTCAACTCCGAGTTCGTGCAAAACAAGCTCAATGTAGGTTAATTTTGGAGAAGATCGCGTAAATGTCAGCAAAAAAAACATGTTGATTTTTTAAGTGCATTTTTAAAATTCAAGACTGGGCGAAGTCCAATCACGTCTACTAATTTAAGTTTTTTTTCACCAGATGAGCTGCTAACCTGGCCTTGATCGATTCGCAGGATACATTGAAGGAAAGATAGCGTTTTTCTTCGCTAACTGCTTAAAAAAATTCGCATCCCGGATTTTCTCAGGTTTTCATCTGCGGGCCGGATGGCCTTACGTAACTGCATTTCGCTGAAGTATTGAGAACCACAGGTCTGCAACGGTCTTCCTACACAATCTTGACGTTAATTTTCCATTTTCAATGCTCGTTCGAATTTTTAGAATACATCCAGAGTTAACCAACATGACGCAAACTCAATTTAATTCCAATCTCAACTCAACCGACTCCCAGCTGATGCGATAACTCGTAAGTAAGTTTAAATTTCAACTCGTTCCCTATGCAGACCGTTCGCTTCAAGACTGGTTTGACGAGTATGACCGGGTTCAGCCGGGGTTAACCAGTTTTGGCGTAAAAAATTTTAAAGTGCTCCTCACCTTGGGGTACAAAAAGATTGAAGGCAGTTATCCACACAAAGCAACTTACAGACGACTCGCGAGTTAAATGCCGGCGACACTGATTCTTCTCCAAATGGTTCTCCAACCCTTTATCCTATGTGATTTCCCGTCCGCCATATTAGGTGAAATCTTTCGAAATTCGCTTGCCTGGTTCACGTGCATTTGACCAATCAGTGTTGGCGTTATTTTCAAATGCAGTAAAGTGAAAACCCAATCACCATCTACCAATCACATGCTTTGTATTGTTTCAAATAATAAGAGAATTTCACAACTTTAAATGCCTAGCCGTAGCAGCAATGTACGCTAGCTGGAAAATTACAGTGTCATTTCATAACATTCTATTGGGAAACAGTGGTTTTCGCGCCAACAAAGATTTTTGGAATCACTACCCGACTGAAGAGATATTGCCCGAGTTAAAAGCGTAGAGCTAAATTGTACATCAATGTGTACTTAATTCTTTGTCACGAAACGAACAATCAGGTCTTAAATAATCCCTAGAAGAATTGCATGACGGAGGAATAAATAAAATATGTTTTTTCTGATTTTAATTGACAAACTCCTGTACAAATATCGCGTTTTAATCTACATCGCAAAGAATGTTTGCGAGGCGTTCCGTGACTACACCGTCACCTCGGGCAACAGAAGAGACTTCATGCTAATTTACAGTGCAACATTCAACATTAAAATTATTTAACTGTTCCAAGGTGTTTTCAAAAATAAAAGCAGTTCGAGTGCTATACGGCGTAGTCCATTTTTTATTCAAATCAAGGAATATAACGACTGACCGGGAATTCGACACGTGCGTAGCTAAACATCTGTTACTTCGGTACGGCATTAGCAGTGGATATTAAATGCCGTTTGCTTAGCCCTCTAAAAGCTTTCAAACTTCTTTTCGTCGGGTTTTCTGTTTTACTTCCAAAAGCGCCTCTCTCGGACACTTTTGTTTCGGTATCTAGCGACGCGGGACTAGCCTTTCACGGTAGGGTACGAGTGAATTTTCAGTAGTTTTACTCTTCACCAGTAATGATCTCCTCCCCATGACAAGCACTGATGATCAAGCCGGGTTATGCTAGGAAGGATGTTATTCATGTGCATTTTGGCTAGATTTGTGATAATCGGCAGATACCCTGCATGTGAAATGGGCCACTCTGGTATCGGTCGACTTTCACAGTTTCGGGTTCATACCAACTCAAGAAAAAGAGGAAATAATTAAATGTCGCAATGGATGTCGGAATCGGTGTAACTTAATATGGGAAATTTCTTCCTACACAACCATAAATATCTGCTTACTTTAGGCATCGTCCATTTCCTGTAATTTTTTTCGCAAAGCGATCGGCAAAAAAGGGTATAAGCAAACAACTCGGTAATCGTAACCGAGGAAAACCTTATCTCCGATTTGCTGAGGGTTGGGGGAAAAGGGGTGGTACGCGTGAGAAAATATCTGCATATATAAAGCTAGTACTGGTTATATGTGCTTAGTATGGGGAACATGATTACTCAGGTACAAAAACAGGGGAAGCAAGCGCTTATTTATCATTTTTGCCGGGGAAGGGTCGGTTATTCGAGGGAAGGTGCCAATTCGGATTCACTTTAATTGTCTGGTGCGCTGGAAGGTAACAGGAGGAGAATTATTTGCACAACATTTAATAACTACATTTGGTATATATAGCGTGATCAGCTGAAAATTATTTTTACTGTGACTCGACAGCCCATAAATAAAATATAGAACTAAATAAGCCACTTAATTTGAGGTAAAAATTGATAATCTATAGCTTCAAAACACAAATAAACTATCCTATGTATAATCGTTATCATTTCAAGGCTTGTACTTCTGTATTTCTCGTTATAACATTTGATTTCAATGTCTATATTTCTTGCTATAACATTTGATAAATCAAGTTTTATTTTATTAACCCTCTTTCCTTAAAATATCACTTCTGAATAACACATTGAGGTCACGGGTATAAATGAAATGATTACCAACTAGAGAAGCTCTCAAATTCTCCTTGTCAGCACCTGGGAAATGTATAGAGAACACTATGGAGAATATACATACTGATGTTAGAGTGTAAAGGATTAAGAGAGGACGAGGTCGAGAGCTTTTGGGGATTACGAACAGAAAAAAAAAACTTTTAAAAAAAGGCATCTCAAAGAGTTCTCCAATTTAATGTCATTAAAAACAGGTTGGAATAATTCGTTTCTTTTGCAACAAATTCCATGTGAGAACGATAACCTTCACAATTAAAATATTTTGTACGAAAGCAAGACACTCGCACGCGAGAAAGTTGACAAGCGGGACTTCTCGCTCCCGCGTGACGATCTGAATCACTTGCACGCTGTTGAATCAAGTTGAATCCACTTTAGTTAGACTCTCAATAGCCTGGACACGAGGTAATTTTTCTTTGTCCTCAATGGTTTTGTACACACTTTACTCTTCTAAAACACAAGGCTTTTTTGCACTCGCGCAAGTGTCTCAGGAAGTCTTGCCCTTCTAAAAATTTTTGCTTAAAAAGTTTCAAAGATTTCAACCACTATTTCAGCCGTGGTGGTGACTTTTACTCTTGATATAATTACGTTTCATTTTTCTGAGAAAATATCTAGAAATCCAACTCGATTCAGGTTTAGATCCCAGTAATTCTATTCTAAGATTGAATGTTGCCCAATACTGATTCAAAGCGCGAAAAGTCAAAATAAACGTTTTTACCCATTTACTCCCAAGATGTAATAAGTAATTCTCCCCACTAACTGCAACACATTTCATGGTAAATAATACTAACAAATTTGGTTTTGGAACAAGATAACACCCCCAGCTGGTAAGCTTATCTGTTCTCATAATCTGTTGTTAAGACAACATATTATCGTAATTTTCCGTTGAGTGTCGAAAGTAATCCGGGATTGCTTTGGTTTCGCTTTAATTCGGACTGTGATTGGTCAATAAAACTCGTACCATGCTCTGAACCAATCACAAGCCGAACGAAAACAAATCGTGACTTGGTCGTCCGCGTTTTTGGTAGATTGCCTGTTTTTAGTTTGAGTCTTCAGTGGCCAATGATGACGCAAACATTTGCTATGAATGGGTGTTGTGATATCTTTGGTTTTGGTTTTTGAACAGTCATTTGAAAACTGCTGTAGAATCGAAAGGACAAATTACACCTTAATCGCTTGTGGGAGCTAAAGAGTTAACAGGTATACATTTGATTTGAATATCAACGGCGACAACCGACTAAGCTCAGGTGGCAAAAATTCTCCCTACCAAAGTAGAGGGTTTATACTTTTTCCTCCTCAAAATTTTGAAAAATGTATTCAGCTGCTCGATTTAAATCCCAAGAACAGTGTGTCAAAGTTCTTTCACAAAACCCCTCAGATTTGCCGGTGATTTTTGACAGTTTTTGTATTTTGACAATTCGAACAACCTGTTCCACATCACCTTGATACTGTAACAGAGCTGCATAGCACCAGTCTCGAGCCAACTCTTCCCCACAGATTCGGCGAATCTCGCGGATCCCTCCATCTATCTCCTCTCCGTATGTCCCTTCCTCGGAAGTTTGAACTTGATCATCAGGTTGGGTAAACGGATCAACAAGTTCATTTGGGTTGGCAGGTCCAACAGGATTGAATGGTTCGTGTGGTTCAACAAATTGGGCGGCCGAATTTGGAAGTTGGTTCACTGCATTCACGTGTTCAACGCCGAGGGGCCAATCATTCATACCCGACGCATCCTCCCAGCTAGCTAGGACGGAAAGTTGGTTACTCAAGGATCCACCAAAGAGTTTGTCGCGGGAGGGTGGGGGCTGGTTTAAGACTTCCGGAGGAATTTCTGGTGGCATTGGTAAATTGAGTGGTATGTCGTAAATTGGTTGAGTATCTTCAAACTCATCCTCTCCATTGGGTGAAAGATCTCTCTGGCTACCTGGTGATGGATTTAACGTTTTGGCGTTCTCATAGACGCGGTCTTGTATTGGATAGCCATTATGGGCTGCACCAAGAGCAGTTTGGGACCTGCTCGACAATTCTTGACCGTGTGAATTTGGTAATGTTAAAGAATCCCCAATGGAAACAGGAGTTTTGACTATGATGTAGTGTTTGTTCTTCAATGGTTGCTCAGACTTTAAGTCTGCTTCCGACGGCTGGTCTTGCATTTCTAACTGGAACTCGTGCTCGTCATCATCTCTCTCATCTGGCCTTCCTTCCAGGCTCAGCTCAGCAATTTCGTCGAGACCCACTTCATTGCTACGATCTTCAGTCGTTTTTGGCGCGCGTTTTGCGCAATGATATGGAATAGGAATTGGCGGAGGTACTTTTTTATAAACGGACTTCTGGGTCCCATTCGGCCTGGCTGGGGTAAAAATACTCTCTAAATTCGAACTTCTGGGCAAATTGTCTTTAATATCGAAGAAATTTTCATCACCATCGGAAGCTGGTCGAGGTTTCTTTGTTCTCGGGGTTGGGACAGGTCTCCTTCTCGGTGATGTTCCAAAAGGGCTCGAGGATAATATTCCTTCAGGTGGGCAGCTTCTACCGGTTCCCAAGGAATTCATTGTGTTTGTCTGAAGGTTTAGACGAAGAGGAATTTGGAGCGTGCGTGTACCAGCATTTTGACTCGAGCTTGATGAATGCTCGAGTGAGGGTTCGTCTGTCGAACCACTTCTGTCCTTATGCGTTGTAAATGGAACAGCGTATTCCTGTTCGGTTTCCAATCCATGAGCTTCTGACTCCGACTGTGTCTTCGGTAACGCTCCACGAGGAAATTTAACCTGGGGAGAGGCTAAAGGTTCAGGAATGCTTGCGTCCTCCTTTAGCGCGGCATAGTCACCGGCATCACTGCCTCGAGGAACACGATTCTGATGGTCCATACTCATGTAGTCTTCCTCCGAACTCAAAACGCTTTCCTCTGGATATCTATCCTCAGGAACAAATTCTGGGGCACACTTCCTGTCAACCATGGGAATGTACACAGGGCATTGCGCAGCAGTAGTAGCCTGTGGTATATTCCCGTGGTCTATGCCTGGGTGACCTGTGTAACGATCTGGACTAAGCGGATTTGTGGGGTCTTGTGCTGTATCATCTCCAAAGTCTAGGGAAAAAAAACAAAGATGAAAATGAGGCGTCACAACGAAATCCTCGAAATTGTCTTTCTAACAAACGTTGGGACCCACATCTAGAGGAACCCTTTGAAAAAAATAATTTTGACTCTAGTATCTTCAATTTTAATTAACCATAACAAGAAGAGAGTTTGGTGGTGCGATTTCCGTCTTTCCTCCCTCTAAAGAATAAACATAGGAAAACGAAAAAAACGATGAAAAGAAAGGCATAAGGAAAACAGTGCTTTCCTGATGTTTTGGTCCTAAAGGCAGACTAATCAAACCCTGACCGCTCATTGGTTCACTAACGGAAGATGTGAACACGAGCCATCAAGGACAGTACTCAAAAGCCATTTTCAATTGTCAGTTAAAAATAAGACTGGGATGGCATTGGTTATATTTTCTGTGCTGTGAAGTTGATAGAGAGGACATGGGGTCACACTCTCAACCAATCAAGTGCAAAATTAAAACCAGGTGAGTTGGTCATGCGCACTTTTCCCGCGATTTCAGCGTTCTGTTTACACCGATTGGTTCCTTCTGATGTGTAACTTTATTGTGATTGGCCGTTGTGATTACTTTGGTTCTAGTTTTGTATGGCTCGCAAGGGTTCACAGGTGACGTGCGATTAAGGCCAAAATTAACATGTGACGCGTTAATTTTACAGAAAGGCGAACGTGATTCGTGAATTGAACCAGTCTCAGGTGTGATTTGCCTTTTGAAATATACGGGACTCGTGATTTTTCTCTTTCACTTCGTGGAAACCTCGAGATTTCCCTGGAGTATTATACACAAAAGGAGAGATTTTACGTTTTCCCTTTTAACTTCGTGACCACTGTTTTTTAACTAAAATTCGTACGCGAAACGGATAAAGACACCCCTTGGCTATCCTCTCATATAACACTCTATCGACAATCGTACTAGTAAGATGTGGATTTGATAAGAAACGAGAAAATGGTGAAAAGTAAGTTGATTGACCTCAGTATGAATAAACCTTCTATAGCCGCAGGTCACTAAAGGTCAAAACGCACAATAGATTACAAAAAAAATTGATTGAAACGTTAGTTTTTCCTTAACTCTACAAATTCTAAAGGAAGTGCATTGACTCAATTTGTGACCTACTGTGCACAATTTTTAGACTTACCCATCAAATTTTTAACGCCTCTGTCCTCTACAACCTCAGTGATCGTTTTCCCAGGAGTGGCGGCGGCACCTCTGTAGTAAAAAAAAGCAAAAAAAAAAACCAACAAAAAAGAAAAAAGGAAACAAAAAAATGTATCTTTAACATGGGTAATTTCTAGTGCGATCGCCGAAAGAAATTTGGCGCAAGAGGGGGTGGAACTGTGTTCATGTGTTAGTAAAAGGTATTTAGCACAGTTGTTAGTTCCTGAAGAAATTCTTGTGGTTGTTTGGTAGGAAAAGTAAAACTCTACATTCTCTATGATAGTTTATTTACTCTGATCCACCTTTCGTTGCTAGTGAATTTAGTAACTCGAACTCAAACCACGTCTCGGGGAGGGAGTTTTATAGGGATACATCGCAGAGATCACGTGGCTTCTCTCAGAGTGCCCAAAAGTCAAGAGTCATGTTCGAATTGTTCTCTTAGCACATACGAATGTCTGTGATAATCGAGCTAAGTTAGTTTAATAACAAAAAAGAATCAATGTTTGAACTTACTTTTGCGAATGGCTCAACCCCTTTTGGGAGCTTTTTCTTGAAATGTTAAATGGTCGCCCGATGTTACTCGTTGGATTGTTACTGTTTAGGAAAAAAATTATACTTGACTTGTTAGCATGGGAAACTCTTTGACTATTCGCTGACAGAACTAGTAGGTTTGCCTTGGCAAACCTTTTAAAAAGGAACAGACAAAAAAGACTCAACATTTGATTGCTTTTCCTCAAACTCATTAATTATTCATAAGGTGATCATCCAACCAAGACACGCCAATTTCGTCACGTGCATGTGGTTTCATCAGGGTTTCCAAACACAGTCGAAAACAGTAAAAACACTCGGCTTGCGGCCTCGTGCTCTATCAGTTTTCTCGTGTTTGGAAACCGTGATGAAACCCTCGCACTCGTTTTTGAAACAGTACTTCATTTTCCCGTGTTGAGAACAGTCGCACCTGAAGTTTAATCCACGTTTTTCTCCTAATTGAGACGAATGCACATTAACCCGCAACGTGCACAAGATTAAGTCTCCGCTTGGTTCAGTTTGTACTTTTTTTGTTGTGATTGTTGATGTGTTTCCTACCGTAGTTTCTTCCGAACACTAGCTTAAGTGAGCTACTCAAGAAGGCTATATGTATATATTTTCAACGACACTGGTTAATCCGCGAATGGAAAAGCATCTCTCGAAACAGAGTTCATACACAGCTGAGCTCGCAACAAGTTTGAGACAGCTATAAAGATAACCGGTGATTCAGTACACTACTTTGAGTCAGTTCAGTCTGATTACTAATCTGGTTTCACTACTGAATAAAATCGTCTATTCAAGACTTTTTAGCTCTTTACACACTAAAATCAGTATGCATATTCTCCATACTGTTCTCTATACATTTCCCAACGTGCTGACAAGAAGAATTTGTGTTTCAATCAAGAGCTTCTTTAGTTGCTGATCATATCCTTTATTCTTGTGACCTAAATGTGTGATTTACGAGTGATAATGTAAGGAGAAATTAGATGTTAGTCAATCTATGGGGTCAAAGGGTTAATAAAAGCCAACCACAGGCACTGCCATACCTTGCATGTTTTTGCAGGGCTTTTTTGTTGAAGTCCAAGTTCTTCTCATGCACCAGCCCTGTTTTACCGCATTCACTTTGAACATACCACATACCTCTCTTTCCTCTGTAAATACAATCAGAGAGTACAATAAAAAGAGTCTGCAACTTAAAAAAACCAATCCCAGTTTAAAAAGTACACATGCAATTGGGCTCTACACGGTGGCCGTGCGCTGCGGGTTCTAACTTTTGCGTCTGTTTATGATATTCTGATGCATGACCAATCAATTGAAATAGAGTGAGAGCCACTGGGAGGTACATTCATGGGTTTTGCTGGGTAAGATAGGTGCATTTTTAAGATCTCTGGATATGAAAACCTTTTCACTGATCTCTAAAACATAGGCTTCATTCATTTTTATAGGTTTTCAATAAAGCCTAACGGGGGTGGTAGGTGTCTCTGACTCGTCCCTAGTCATTTCTTACTTAAATACGCCGCTGCGGGGTCGAGAAAGACTAGTACTACTTTCCTCCCTTCCCATCTTCCCAGCGCGCACCTCTCGCGCGCTTTCACTGTCAAAATCAGAGAGAAGACTACACACAAGTCAGGGGCCTTCCCTTGTGGGGAGGTGACCGTTAGTGTTGGATCGAATGTTTGTTTCCTCACATGTGTCACCTGCCAGTACTCAAAAAATTATCTCAAATCTTTTTCCTTTTTTACCTTCTGATGATAGTCACTTTCACTTTATTCTTGTAACTGAGATGGCCCTCCTCCTTGGTGTGGTGCGCGATTTTTGTTATTGCCTCCTTAGGCTGGAACTAAAATTTTGGGAGAAAGAGTTGAGTTTGAAAAGAAATGGCAGCATTCCGAAAGTTGTTGCTCATACTTTTGTCTTGTTATATGCTCTAAGAAAAGAAAATATCAGAGTTTCTTGCCAAAACGGAAAGGTGGAACTCGATTTTCTCTAAGCCGTTGTCGATAACCCTTAATAAGTATGTATTATAACATAGTCTACAGGCGAAATAACTGTGTCCTTTCACCAAGATAACAAAACTTCTTTGGGATATCACGCAGAACCTTAAAGGGTTGCGTGACATCCCATAGAGCAGCTGCAAAGGAGATTAGACTTAAGTTCTGCCGGCTAAATACAAGGTATACGATTAACATGGGTCTACTTTCACGTCAAGTCTGCAAGGCTGATCTTTTTAAGTGGGTAAAAATATTCAGCTCACTTTCGATATGATGTTGTAAATTTCTTCAAAACTCGGTCTTTCTTCAGCATCACGCTTCCAACAGCTTAACATGACGTCATAAAAACCATCTGGACATGCATCGGGTTTTAGAAGTTGTTTGTCTGGCTCATTTACAAGCATCATCTTGATCTTAAAGAAATCCAACACGAACAAGAGCATTCAATGGTGAATAGGCCTTTTTAATGACAATTTAATTTAGCTCTTTTAGAGATAAGTTCATAACACAAAAAGGCTTGCACGTACATTAAAACATGTAAGAGATGACAATCACAAAATTTATGTTTCATTGGACCTCGTAATTCATCTTCACCCGTGAGGGTGACTAGCATCTAATTTCTCACCAAGGTATCACTGATGAACTAAACATTAGGGTCATGAGAATTACGGAACTAATCACAAATTTGAAAAGCTCTTGAGTTTCAACAAAAAAATAATTTTCCTTGTCAGTGCCACAAGAACTGTATAAAGAACAATTAATGGAGGATATATACATAACAATATTGAGGTGTTAGGGATAAACTAAAAAGTCATTTTAAACAACAACATCAACTACTTCCATTAGGTAAGAGTGTAAAATAGTCAATTTGGTTGTTTTTCTTATACAAAATTTGGAGAGTATATTTGTGTGGAAAGAAAAACAAAAGAAAGAAAAAATTTCAGCAGTGGAAACTTTCTCAGGTTTTAGATAAAGAGTAAGCCTGCTAACACTTTGTTTAATACAGACACACTGTAAAGTAAACATCTTGCTTTAAGTCTTGGTCATACCTGTAGAAGTGACATTTCAGCCCAAGGGGTTTGACCAAAGGAAAACATTTCCCACAGAGTGATCCCATAACTCCACACATCACTTGGAAGTATAAACTGATTCTCCTTTATGGACTCTGGTGGTAACCTGAAAAAAAAAATCTCACAATCTTGCTTTCACTCAGCTGAATGCTAAAGTTTCTCCCACGTGGATAAAAGGAAAGGGAAAGGCCTGCTATCAGTTTGTACCAAACGCACACTGAGGGAATAATTTCATGTTTTGAACTGACTAGATGGTCATTGAAAACAGCTTAAAAATAAGCCCCCACCCACCCGTCATCTCCAATAATCCTATCTAAAAATTATCTGAAATTAAATCAACAAATTAAGTAATATTTAAAAAAAATATGAGCTTTGACTTAATTAGCCCATTATCTGCCTCATGGAAGCAATTTTGACTACAAGCCGCAGCAGCCGTAGCTGCTTGCTGTTAGGAGATCTTTTACCCTTTCTACTTCCAAGAATAAGCTGTCTTCCTTCTTGAACAAACAGAAAAAAAGAGCCTAAAGGTTGTGGACAATTTTAACATAAATAACAAGATACTTTTTGAACAATTTCAGCCAAAGAACAGAAATCTTCTTACCAAGCAACTGCCATTTTTCTGTCAACTGTGATCTGTGCAGAAGCTCCTCCTTCTAGTGAGCGAGCTAATCCAAAGTCACTTATCTTCACCTGTAAAACAAAATTTGTGAGGCCTCATTATTCATAACATTATTCCACACCTGACTACATTTAAAAGAAACAATAAATTACTTGGGAACCTGACAGAAAATGCCAGGATGGGTATATGTCTACATGTACATGTAAAGGTAACAGTACATATCAGGCATTCTGATAGGTTGTGCTATGAAAAAAAAAAAAAAGGAATTTTCCCAATTCAGATTATGCATTATGAAAGAAAAATAGTGTGACAAATAACATGCTAATTTAACAACTTCTTTACAAGAGGAAACAAACTTTGTCTGGGTGGACTTCAAAGGGGGTCACTATCACTAGGAACCCACACTAGATAGCCAGTGTGAGTTTAAAGAACGCTTGAGATCTCTCATCTTATAAGAAAAAATAAAGACACTTGATCCCATTTCTTTGACCACCTTTGTCTTTTTGCCCCAATTACACAACTTTGGTGACCAATTTTCGGAGGAGTTGACCAAAAGCATGACCTAGGGTTATCAATTTCACTTTAGACAACAACATCAACATCAACTTCACAAGACCTAATACATACTACTTGGAGACTTTTGTTTTGTGGGAAGAAAGGAAGTTTCTTAAGTAAAGTTATAGTCCATTAAAATTTTTCTTGGGTTCAAAAATCATGCTCTGGCCTCACTGTGCATTTCCTATTTACTATCACATCTGGATACTTCATTGACTGCAGGTCCCCAGCCAGAAAACTAGGCATAATGCATTAACAAGTTATCCTAATAGCTTAAGTTTCCCATTAAATCTACACAAACTCTGAAAGCATAATTAAGCACAAGAAACATATGTATCAAAGTGTATCTGTGTCTGGGTTTTTTGGACCAAATTATGTCTCTGATGTTTGCTCTTTCTAATACCTTCCCAGACATGTGGAAATATGCATATGTTCCCATAAAAAAACTGTACTTACCAAAGCTGGTTCAAAAACAAGAATATTTCTTGCAGACAAATCACGGTGGACTAAACTCTGGTTGGCCAGGTAGCTCATTCCGTTTGCTACTTGCATGGCAAATTTACACAATGAGGACACCTGGCATATCTCTATTTCGTTCTTCTTGAGGTTTTCTTCCAGAGAACCATAAGCAGCAAATTCTGTTATCTGTACAAAAACATAACCATAATTACTTGATGGAGCACTTTGGCAGATATAATTATATATATAAATATATATATATATATATTTTTTTTTCGTTGGTCACAGTTCAGCCTCTAACTTGGGAGTTAAGTTATCCTTAAATCATATTTCTAAAAGAAATCATAACAAGGAATTGCTCGCAATAGAACAGAACCCTTTCTGGTGGGAAGTGTGCAGCTTGCTTTCATTCCCAGAACTTAATTGTTCTGTTTCATATTCAAGTCCAAGTTTTATTAAAAAGAAGGAAAAAAGTATTATTTATCCAACTTTTTGTTGAGGAATTGTATTTCTGAGCTTGTTTTAGATAGAGTTGTATGTATTTTGTGCATTAAATAAATAATTTTTTATAGATTAATCTCAAATATGGGAAACTTTTGATACTAACCAATTAAATTCAAAATTTTGCAATGGCTTTGATTGCCATAAGACAGAAGTTGATGATATTCAACTTGATAACACCAACTGGCACAAGAGAAATGACTAAGTGAAAACAGAATATTACCAGCTTTAGTTGATCCGAATCTCTTGTGGGAAGAGTAACACCAAACAATTTAACAATGTTATCATGAGAGAGTCGTTGCATGGTATTTACTTCCATTAGAACCTCTCTCAGCTGCTCTTCACCAGTATCCTTGATGGATTTGATTGCCACAAGTATCTGGTAATAAAATCCAAATAGTAATCATGATTATCATGAACTCCATGTAATTGACTGAGTGAGATGGCCGGATAGGAAATTGTTGGGCTCAAGGTCGAGTGAGCTTAGGTATAAGCACAGTGAGGTTCATACTTAATGACTAGCCAGACCTAACCTGGGCAGAGCTAAACTCTGCATATAAATCTACAAAGAACCTACTATTCCTCCAATTGCTTTGACAAAAGGCTAATGTGTGAAATGTCAGCTTTTAAACTCTTAACAGTAGCCAGTTTACAATCAACTCAGTTGATAATACTAAATTACCCTGTTTTGTCATATAACCAACCTAACTCATTCAACAGGCATTATATCATATGACCACTCTTTCTCTTCCCCCTCTCTTCTTCCAACTTGCATGTCACAGGGCCAGACAGTTTTTTTTTCCGGACCCTGCAAGCACCATCATGTATGGCTGCGTACAAGGATTCTTTATATAGTCTTTTATAATACTATACTAGGTCATGTGACAAGATAATTTAGTATTATCAACTAAGTTAATGTAAATTGGCCACTATAAAGAGTTAACCCTTTAACTCCCATGAACTCATTAGCAATTCTCCTTACTGTCTGCCATACAGTTCTTTGTGATGTTAGTTTGGAGAATATGGTATTCAATCAACAAATAATCCCCTAATTGATCTTTTTCTTTATTCTTGTCACTTGTCTGCTTGATATTGTATTGATATTGTGGGGAGAAATTCTGTCTTGGTCACTCACAGGAGTTACCATAATTTCCAGCCATTTACCTGCATGGCTGATTACCCGCACTGGCAGATTATTGCATTCGGCAAAAAAAAGAGTCAACAGATTACCTGCACTGGTGGATAACCCACATGTTATGTTATTCAACTTTTTGGTGGTGAAAACATGACATTAAGGTGATACATTTCAGTCTTTTTAAAGTTGTCTGATCTAACTTTTGAAAACTTGAAAGCTTCTTTGTCAAGTTTAAAGGTCAAAGAAATTCAGATGCATGCACAATTTGGTGTCAATATTAGCATGTACTTTATTGATAAAATTATACAGTAAAAACACAAGCGGCCCATGCCCAAATTTCAATGTTTCATACTTGACAGAATGTGAATTTGTGGCCACATTTTGTGTAAGCGATTGTTCAGCGCCATGTTGATTTGTTGAAAGAAAGCTAAGTGATTGTTAAAACTTGAATTTTAAAGTACCGTTGGCAATTTCTGAAAAAAAATAGATATCTCCGGTTCTATTGGCCTAACAAGTCTCTTAAAACTGGAAAATTCTCTTTAGCTCAAGCTGGAAATGGAAATTTGTTACTGATGCACTGGATATCTTTGGATTATTTTTATCTCCATCAAGGTCTTGTTTACACATGTGCTGATAACAATTTGTTTGTCACGTAACTAATTATGCGTGAAATAAACTAGAGTCGGCATCATGTTTTTGTGCCACTTTGTGGCACTCTTAATACAATAAAATTCATTTGAGAGGTGAGGCGCAAGTGGGTGAGAATTTTTTTCAATTCAACTACCAGTAGATTTTAAAATTGTCACATAACCTGCACCTCCCTATTACCCGCAGTGGCATGTGTTAAACGCAAAATCAACAGATTACCTGCAGATAAATGGCAAAAATGGGTAAAAGGTTAAAAGCTGATGTTTCAAGTGTTAGCGCTTTGTCAGAGTAATTGACTGCCACAAGTATCCAACAATTGCTCTAGCAAAGGACCACCACTTGAAATGTCAGCTTTTAACTCTTTGCAGTAGCCAATTTACGTTATCAAGCAAACTCAGTTGATAATACAACAATGTAAATTACCCTGTTATACTCTCCCACTGACACAGCACCACAGTTTCATTAGAAACTTACCCCCCTTATTCAAATGATAAGATAGACTCGTCTGCATCTGATATACATGCATTAATATGTGAAACAGGAAAGGCAAGTCATGTAAATATAGTTAAAGCTTGACACCCAGGTAGTTCTCCTATACACATATAAAACAAATTGATTGAACTAAACCATGATTTCTAGTTTTATCACTTTTCTGATTTCTTGTTTTGGCTTTCCTCCTTTGAAAGAGTTCCTAAATTCTGTATAAAGTTCAGTAACCAACTGATTAGCATGCCGAATGCTACGTTGAGAAGCAAGGGTTTAAGACCTGGCTGATATTGAGATATATTGTGTATTTTGATACTTCACTCCCATGTTGCCCATCTCCACCCATGAAGAGAGCTTGACCCTCAAAGGGCTTCTGGCTGACCAGTGATACAAGCTACTTGAAATGAGTGCTGAATTTTACTAGATTCTTGTCACTAGTTGGGTTGTAGATGGCAGTGGATCTTGGGGAGGAGTGCAGGAGGTGCACATCCTCCCTGCCCCTAAGATGACTGGCCGCTTTCTAATGTAAGCTCAAGGTCATAAAAAATCTGCTACATTGTTAGCTATTGTATGTATTCTCCACAGTTCTTATCATGTTATTGCCTAGTCCTAAGCTGTTTGCTTCATACTTGCTCCCTTTTAAGATTTGTTTATGTCAACCATCAATTACGTCACGCCTAAGAAATGTACCCCCTCCTAAGAAAAATCCTGGATCTGTTCACTCCTAGAGGAGTTCTTAAAAGCGAAAAAAAAGGAATAATAATGATAATAATAATAATAAATAATAATAATAAAAAAGATTTGTCTTTTTGCATCTTATCATCAGTAAGCCTTTGCTTAGTGTGCTAGATCTAACTCTCTTAGCCAGAGCCAACACTATACTACCAATACTTTTAGGAGCTCTTGATATTAGTTGGCAAATTTCCATACTTGTTTTTGAAAGAACTGAGATGCTATGCAACCCTTGTTTTTCAATAGTATAGTTACAACTGTACCTTATCTTTTGCATTTGGCGGTTTCCACTCTCCCAGTTCCACAACACCATACTGCCCTTCGCCAAGTTCTTCCAAAGCCTTTAGGTCTTCTGGTGGAATAATGTGGTGGCCAGGGCTGACAGGTGGGTTTGAGTCACTCCTCTTGTCCTGTTAACATTTGACAAACAACAGCATCAGTTTCACTAGACCTTACATAATACTTGTAGAGTTTGTTTGGTGGGACAAAAGGAATATTTGTGGGTCAAGTTATAGGCCACTGAATTTTTCTTCTCCTGGTCTCACTTGCATTTTCTATCTACTAACACATCTGGATACTTCATTCTGCAGATCCCCAGCCAGGAAAATAGGCATAACAAATAAACAAGTTATCCCAGCATGTATTCATAACTGACTGATTAGATTTTGATAGACTGCCTCACCATTGACTAGCACTGGCTACCCTCAGGCAAGGACAATTGCCACTTACCAGTATATAATTATATTAAATACAAAATTAAATTGTAAAGACTTTTGTTATTGTTTTTTGTTCTCAAAAAAAGAGAAAGAGGAACAATTTCTTTCTCCAACAGGTACACTAGCACAGCTTACAGTTATGGGGCAATATCACTTAATTGCCAATTTTTCTTTCATAAGTGAGTTTTTCTAATAAGGGAAGCACTCTCTTGTTGTTTCTGCAAAAAAACTTTCATTTTCACCATTGACCAAAGAAAATCTCAAACCTTTCAGTTAACCAAATGTACTTTTTAGTGGAAGATTTACCAAACTGTCATCCAGCAGATCCTTGGATAAATTCTTTTTCTGGGAGACCCTCACAGTATGTTAAAAAGCACATGAGGATTATGCCTCCTTTTTTTGAGATCAAGTCTCTAACAGGATCTTATGACAGAGAGTTATCACAGTGACTGTAGCCATCACAATTCAATCATTGTTATTGCTTGTAAGAATGGTGTGATATCTAGGTGATCTATGTCAAGACCTTTCAGATTTTCAGGCTGTTAAGAGTGATCTAATGTCAATTCTTTCCAATCCTGTACTATATGATGTGCTGTGTTGACTTAATTTTAAAATCTTCGAGGATCTTTCTATTTCTTGTAAAGATCTTCAAAGATCTTTTATTTTCTTGCCAAGATCTCCAGGGGTCTTTTATTTTCTTTCCAAGATCTTCAATTTTCTTGCCAAGATCTTTAAGGATCTTCAAACTTTTTGAGAAGACCTCTGATGATTGATGACAAGATCATCACTTTGCAAAAAAAATCGTTAATGCATTATTTGAACAGGACCACTATAAACTATATAAAAATTAATAGCAAGGTTATGAAATGCACCATTTAGCAGAATTTAGTTCATTTCATTTTGATCTAGACGTAAACTAAATGAGGTGCAAGAAGTCAAAGTGGAAGATTTACTTTGAGCAAATTAATTGGGTATCAAATCTGACTACACAAATGAACCTTGATCAAAATTTAAATCCTCAAGGGGTTTCTCATCAAAACTAGGTGGAGATTATTTGATATTCTAATTGGTTGCTTTGCAATCTTGCTGTCAAGTTTGATTATCAAAATTAAGTGAAAAGGGTTACATTGGAAGCCATTACAGGGGACCAGTTGGATATAATGGAATTCCCTAATGTCCTTTTTTTTTAGTTTGGTATCTCAGGAGTCTTTAGTCCAAAATTTGAAATTAGCCCATAGCGTTTTCACAGCCAAGCAATTTGTTCAAAGAAGACACAGTTGCATAAGAACAAGGTCTATATAGGTTTCCTTTTGGCTTCCAAAGTTTTGCCCACAGTTCATGCCTTTGGGTGACCACATGTCAAGTTATGTCAACACTCTGAAAACTGGAAATGTCACAACCAATGTATGTCAGAAACATGGAGACATTCAGCAGAGTCTCAGGGGACTCTCAGGAAAATAATTTTTTGCCTGTGACAGACCTTAGTTCAATTCACTAGCTGGTAATTTTGATTTTAATTTTTTTATGTTTAAAAGTGGCTCAAGCAGCTGCAGCATAATTTGTTTACTGGTCACTTGTCTGAGGAGCAGCGAAGATTACTCTAACCATGAGCCCTGATCCATTTGGATGAAATTTCTATAATCTCTTTCTCTTTCAGTCATGCTTCTTTTGGACTATTGCCTATCTTTCCGGTTCTCTATTCACTGGGAACCCGACAGACAGCATGCAAGTGAAATCAGGAGATGTGTACAGGATTGGAATTCAAGAACCAGGAAATTGTCTTTTCAAACTTGGGCATGCTACATAATTAATTTTGAGAGTAATGTAAGTAAATAAATCATGCTCATTTTAATACCATTATTTTAAAAAACCTTTTCTGGGAAACTTAGTTAAAATAGCAGTGCTGGTCTCAAAATGAAAATGAAACACTCAAGAAGCTAGAGTTCCTCTCGGCTGCGCCTCTAGCAACTCTTATGCTTCTTTCATGCTCTCCAAACTTTTCATGTGTATCCATAACTGGATATATGTATGCTAAGCATGGATCAGTTCTTTACTGGTATGTAGTAACTTAAATCTACAGCCACGTGAAGTTTGAATTCTTTTTGCAATAATCTGATTGCAACAGACATATTCATTCGAAAGCTTGGCATAGTTCATCAATGTTTCCTTAGTTTCTACTCATTACTACAACAAGTATCCAGAAAAAAAATTGTTTGCTAAAAAAATTTGTACGGGAAAAGATCAGTCAAACCACAACGTGTTGTGTCGTGGTTAAAGTTCGAAAATCACTTTAGATTTCACGTCGATGACACAGTCATTAAAATTAACTATGAAATGTGGACATTCAATTCTCAATTTATGAGAGTGAAAATGTTCTTTGTAGTTGTTAATTTGCTAAGAATTAAATTCCTGTATTATTCATGGCTAGTGAATTGCGGTTCTCGCAAACAACGTGTGGATTAAAATCCTTTTGTTCTGCAGCGAACACATTTGACAGGATTTCACAACAGCGTGAAAACGATTTCAAATGAAACTTAACACAACATAACATAGGTCCGTCTTCCATCGGCCTATGCGCGTTAAATATCAACTGAGGAGGTCAAATGTTATAAATTTGCCCGCGAGGTGTGTATGTACATGTCTTCTTAGGGGCTCAGTTGGGCAAGAAAGAGCAACCTCTATTTATAAAAATGCGCCATATTTCTTTCTGTTCGACCACGCATGACAAGGACATGTTTTGAGGATCAATATCAGTCTTCGGTATAACGAAAGGCAAACAGTGATCTTAGAGATATTAGATGGACTAATAGTGATCTAAATTAAACTTATAATGAGAGATGGATAAAAATAACGAAACGGACGCGTCTCAGCATTGTAAGAACAACTCTCACCTTTTTCTTCGACCGAAACATGGTGAACTTAGTAAATATTTCGGTTTGAAAGGTCACCAATCCATCTGTAAGTTTTTTCTTCGCATCTTATGGCGTTTTAAAACCCACAGAAACGTGAAAAGTTTCCATAATTAACTTTTTCTTGAGAAACTTATCTGTCTCTGACACCTTGATTCATCACGATGATTGTAGTGTCCAGTTTCCCGTCTTAATCGCAATTGTTGTACTTCCGGGAGGTCCGGCTTTCATTTCAATATTTCGAAAGAAATAACAAAATCTCTCTCCAGCGGTAATCATTGCAAGGACATCGGAAGGAAGTCATACTTCCAAAAATTTGCCTTATACGTTATCATTATTTTTAGATTAGAAACCGAAACGGGTGTAATTACGCATAAAAAAAATTACGCATTAAAAAAATTCTCACGTCCGAATAGACCCGGCTTTTCAAAACATGTTATTTATTCAGTTTCGATTAGCATAATTTGCACTGGTTGTACTCACCAACCATAACAAAGCTCTGCACAGATTTGAAAGCATATTCATTGGCAGAGAGTTTTCTTCGCAGGAAATCGAAGATATCCGCGAAATTGACGGTGTGTCAGAATCAAGTCGAAATCCCTCTGAGCCCGGCCTCTTTTTTCCTTTTTTTGAATTAGCAGTACAGTGATTGAACTATCTAACTCTATTGAATATCAATACAAATCATGCAAAGTAGTTTGCTGAAAAATTGTCAATCTTTGACAGGTTTTCCCTACTCCAGCTCGTTCTTCAAAGAATTTATCCTCCGGAGCGGAAGATCGCCGACTGGAAAGGACAATTCGTGGAAAAAATAGTCGGTGGAAACCCAGTTTCCTCCTTAGTTTCTGACACAGTTGTTCTTGTCTTCTCGGTGCTTGAGGCTTGAAGAAGTTATTGAAGCATTTTCAGCATTACAAGAGAACAAAATGAGCACTCACAGTCTTTTTAAGCCTTAACATTTTTTGAAAAAAACGAAATTCTTGCTGGTGTATCATAAGTGGTCCGCTCTCTTCAAAGCTAGGTCTCTTTCCTGGAATTTTCGGCACTTCGGCTTTCCGGCGGTTTCCGGGAATAAAACGGAAGTATTCGACAACTTGAAAACGTCGTTTCTTCTTTAAATTCATTTTGAGTTTTAAATTTTACAAATTTACATTCACTGAAAAATTGATAGATCTTCAGCTCTAAACACATCGAACGTCAGGACACGTTTACAAAACAAAATTACAATGAACGAAATCCATATATCTTTTACAGTTTAAGTCAACAAATATGAAACAGAAATTTGTTTACACACCTTGATCCTCACGAGGAAACTAACGACTCGATTGTTTCCGATCATCGTCAGCTAGCTAGATGTTGGTCATACTGTGGCCGCGTAGTTGTTTTTACTGGTTCAATGTTGTTGTGTTCCTAGAAGTCTTAGCTCAAATTCACTTCAGTTTTTTAAAGTTTTTCCGTTGGTTCTGAATCGCTTCCTCAATAGTTTCATCTAACTTGCTTTAAGCAAAACCAAGGAGCTTAAGTACTTTTCAATCATGTGTGACATATTTAGAGCTGAGGTCTGATTCTATTTGTTGCACGATGTGACCTCTAGGGCAGCATATGAACATGTTGGCATCTTCCGCCAGGGTTGTTTTTTTATCAAATGAAATCACGTACGCTTGGTTACCCTGTGGAACACGATAGTCAGGAACACGTAGTCTTAAAAAACCTCAGCAAACCTAATTCCCTGAAGTTTAGCTTATTAGTTTGTTGTCTAATTAACAGGAAGATTAACAAGGAGTAGTTTAGTTAAAAAATTGTATGTGTCCCCTCTTCGATTAGGACTTCCTTGCCGTAACTGCAACCTCTTTTGATCGAAATAAACGCAGTTTGTGTGTTTGCTTTTCTAGTTAAGCGTGAATTCAGACGCGATAATATGACTGAATCTTTTATCTATGAACTATGAGCAACGAGGAAATTTTCCTCCATAAATAGAACAAAAACAAAAAGTTGAACTAAATTTGTCCAGTTGTTCTTTAGGTGTTTGGTAAATATTTTGAACAGTTTTCGGACCAATGTTTTGTTAGTGTACAAGTTAACTCTTTCCTCGAGTTAAACTAAATTTAGTATAATTTTCTCAAATGTCTTGTTTTTCGGTGTATTTTCAGCTGCGCAAACAAAGTTTTTCGAGTCGAGCAAGGTCTGCAAAATCCTTAAAAATATTGCGTACGTGGGAAAATGTATAGAGTACGCAAATAGTCCAGAGGTGAAAGCACGCATAGAACGTGTAGTTCGCGGTGGAAAAAAAACAAATGGAACTGCGAGACTTGCATTAAGTACTGCTCAAACTTGCATATTAAAAAGCATATGATAAAATGATCCATACTATTATTACTGAATAGATATGGAAAACCCAAAATATGACTGTCACGTGACGGAACTCGTCTTTCAGCGAGCAAAATTATGGGTCTGATTGTTTGATTAAATTTTAGTCGTTGTTTAAAACTAAAAACGTTTATTTATTTGCGTGAACAGCGTGAAGGGGACCGAAAGCTGACAGCGGAAGGAAATTTATGTAATTAAATCAATCTTCTTTTAGAGAATCCCTGAGGCTCACTGATTGTGCATAACCGTGGTTTGGGTTTGGGCTCTTGTAAATAACCGGACCATATTGTCTAACTGCTGATGGAGTCCTTATCGATGACATTTTCACATAAACTGGGAAAATGCAAGCCGCTGAAAGCTATATTTTCTGCGATCGGGCTCAGATGAGGTAATATTTTAAAAACAAATCGAAAAAAAAAAAGAAAGGAATTGACCTTGGTCAAATTAAATACACGTCAACGAGTAGCTCATTAAATAATAAATGAAAATCATGTCAACTTATCATGTCAACTTATACCTGATAAAAAGGCAAATTAATGAATGTTTTATAAAGAGCTGGTCAATAAAGAATTATTCAACGACAATAGCCAGCGTAATAAAAGTCATAACGGTCTTATTATTGAAAAGAATCAGACAGGCAACCTATTCCTCTCAAATCGACTCAAAACCAGTTTTGTGGAGAAATAGTGGAAATACTCAAAACAAGGTACTGTTGAATATTTTAATGATAACTCGCTGTTTCTAATTCGTTCCAAAGTGGACTGAAAACTTTTGACGCTGAGCTTACAACATTACTGATCCATTTCGTAAGTGAGTGTGGCTTCCTTACATTATTCTTGCCGTCATTGTTAATGTTCCTTTTAATCTCTATCCATGAAAGGAGTTTCTACAAGTAAGAGAAACAATGGTTGTTGGAAAATTGTTATAAATGTAGTTAAGAATGGTAAAAAAAAGCAGAGAAATGGCGGTCTTAGCTGTTTTATTCAGTTGTGAAAAGCTATGATGAGTTATACAATCTACCCTCAACCGAACAACAAAACAACTAAATTTTTATTTCAATGGTCTACATTGGTTTATACACGAATATTTTGCCATTTTCTTCTCTTTTAATTGTATTCAGTAGTTGTGTCTGGTATATAGGAAATGTTTTATTCAAGTGGCACTTCACTGTCTAGAAAAAAAGACTGTTTTTCAAATGACCTCAAATTTGCATAACTTTTGTATCTATCGTCAAGAAAGTGTCATGATGCTGGGGTTCAATTTTATCCGATTCAATTTTTAATTTCCCTCGGTTTAAAAGGAAGAGAGTCTCAATGGGGTGATAGATTTTACGGCAAACGTTGTCACCAGCAATTTTCTTTATCAGTTATTTTTTTACGACTTGCGGTTGCAATTTGCCAATTTTTACGCCTAACTTTTTTTGGCCATTTCACAGCTATCAGTTTACCCCATTGAGACCCGAGAGAACGCCCATTTGTTTAGTACAGGCAAGTCGTCGGGAGATGAGTCTTTGTTACGTCGTCAATAATAAGTGGCAAGGTTACTGAGCACGATTCAAAAATGGCGGCGTACATCAGGCATGCGCAAGGGAAAATTGCGAGGGGATCAATTTTTGGCCGCCCATGGAGCCAATTTCTCGCGCAAAATTCCAAGGCAAAAAATAAGAAACAGGCGCTGTATCCCAAAATGAGCGAAGTATAATTCAGTAAAACGTTCATAGAAATCTGTAACGAACACAAAGCTTATTCTAGTACGGGTTTTCTGTTGATTTTTAATTATATTTTGAACTTTACCAAAAGATTTTTACGCTTTTAAAACACCATGACTTGCTTGCTTGTATGTTTGTTTGTCATTCGAGACCATTTTTAAACTGTCAGGTTGTTTTTCTGAGTCTGGCAATGTGGCTAATATTTAGTATTTAAAACTTTCAAGGGTGTGTATAAAAGTGATATGGGTTCTTTTTCTTTAAATCAGTTTGGCCAATCATTTTTATTTCGCAGCACATGACTTAGTGTGGGAAAAAAGAAGAGCTTCGGAGTTCCTATCGTCAAGTGGGAGATTCCGTAAGTCCTACACTGTCGTGGAGGAGTGCTGTATAGAAGGCTGTGTCATCGAAGAACTGCGCGAATATTGCTAATTTCGTACTAAACTAACACTAAGTGTCTTTCAATGCTATTCACGCACTCCTTGGACATAAAAGGTGTCTATAAAAGGGTTGCGATCTACCAAATTCTTTCTGAAAGCTGGGCAATCAAATGGTCACTGAAGTGAATCACTCATCTTGAATTTCTTGTGAATCAAATCATCTTATAACAATAAAAGATTTTTGCCTTAGGGTGAAGACGTATAGCTGGTAGGCAAAATTGTTTGCGAGAATTAGGTCGGTGATGACGTTCAGAGTAAACATTACTTGACGCACTTTCCCCGTCACGCATTCCACGAGCCTTAAAAGTACACAAAGGAGTTCATTACTAAACTTAATTTGCTCAAAAATAGAAACGTTTCCCCTCAGTAGAAGGCGTGAGTGTCGAACCGCATCATTTTTGCCATAATTTCTAGTTACCGCCGCGCAATTAAGATCTTGCTTTCAGCGCGCAGAGCAGGAAATACTTCAAATATCACGCATCGGCTGTCCACAACAAATCGGACAATATTAAGTCTGAGGTTACCTCGGTTCTATTTCGATGTTGCTTTTATTCATGGAGAAGCACAATCATATATTAAAGAATACTGAATGGCGCGCCGGTTTGAAGCAATTTACGAACAGACAATGTTGCCCAGTGTCGCCGAGAGTAAATTACCTTTCCTTGGTCTCTGTTACGTTGTTCAAGATGTTGGGAACAGCTTTTCGTTGTTATGTTGATAAAAAAGTAATCATTGATTGTGAAAAGAATAACATGCTGATTTATATTTGCGTATCAATATCAAGGTTGACTCGTAACACTTCTTAAAAACAACAGATTGTGTGGAATTTTCGGCAAGTAACGCTGGTCTCGCAATGTCAATTTATCTCTTGAGGAGTCTGGAAGTCTCAATAAGTTTCTTTCAAGACTGAGTGATGTGGTTTAACGGGAATTTTCTTGCCAACTCTTGAATCTTTGACCCCAAGTCGACTCAGGAAACGTCATGTCACTGGATCATTGACGTTCAAAACCTCCCGATATCTGATTAGGAATTCTTCCCACTAGTTGCCATCCCTTTCCTTATAAATAGATAAGGAGAATTTAGCATCGTATCAAAATAAAACCCTCAGCCGATAACGTTTTGCTGGATCATGATTATATTGAGAACTATTTCGACTGCGTGATTCACATTTAGAGGATTAAAATAATTTTTGGAGTACCATCTATATTGTAAAGCAGAAAAATTATTTGAGAGTGTAACTGTATTTTTCTTGATGCATTTGGCTTGCGTACATGGCTGTTCTGTGAGAGTTTCGTGTGGCAGAGCTTAAAGAGGAGTGGCAAGGAGTACATAGCCGCCTGAAGAGTCGCTTCCTCGGCTTCGTCGTTCTCAGTTCTTTCGAACGCCTAAGGAAACCGCCACTACGCACACTTGTTTTGTTTTGCGCAATTCGTGACTCAGCCTAAATGAATGTACCAGTATATAAAAGAGGGCATGAAATCGGTATCTAAACTCCAATATATTTTCTCAGGCCCACAGCAAGCGATGAATATTGATATAAGCGACAAAACGATCTCGAATTGCGCGCGTAGGAGACTTTTGTCGTAAAACGGTTTGGGAACTAAAAGGAAAAAGATGCCTAAGGGAAAATTAACGAGATAATTGTTTTTCGATTATGATGATATTGATTGAATTAGAAGTTTGAGCGACATCGTTAACTGAATTTACTTCTTTTATAATCGTTTTTTTTTTGTATAATTTTTTTTCACGCATCAAGATGGGATTTCTTGTATGCGCTCGCTTCATAACTTTTTTATTTATTTCAAAAAATCAAAAACAAGTTGTGAGGTTTCCTTTGTAAGTGCAGTGTTTGATTATTAACTCGATGCTCTAGATTAAGCAGGTTTAAGTCTCGCGCTATTTCAGACTTCGTCAGAGCAAACTAACTAGACAGAAAGTTAGTTGTGATATCACAATGATGCTTTAAACATCAAGGAAAACCTTAAGAGAAACATACGAAAAGCGAAAATTGGCAAGGGTGAGTTAAATGAGGGACAATTAAAACAGCCTGGATTAAATTCCAACAGGAAAACTTGCAATTAGCGCACTATTCCCAGTGAGAGGAAAATCTCGAGTTAATCGCACTTGATAATCTGAAGGTCTGCTTATCACTTAGGGGAGGTAAGTCAGATCATGTGCCAAAATGGCTTCTCGTTCGGGAACGTATCGTGTTATCTGTAGCATGTTTGAGCGGTACCTCTCGTTCTTGATGGTCTGCTGGTTCGCTGGTACTCACTTACCATTACTCCTGGGTGGAGAACGGTGGGTGTTTGAGCAAAGTGACTTGCCCAAGAAATGGGAGGCGAACACATTACCGAGGGCCGGATGTAAGAGAAAAAATATTTGACTGCTTTGAGTTTCAATCATGCTTTCCGAAATTCAAGGAATTTGAAGTTTTCTAATCTTGCAAAGCAACATCAACTCGCCATCAGTTAGAATCAACAAGCGCCAAAATCGTTAGATAAATGTTTTGGTCGTTTTTTCATGCAAACATCTCACAAATCTTGAAAATACTTGAAAGGCTCATTATGTCTGACGTAGGATTTGTTTCGCCAAACAGAACAACGCAAAAACATTAAGTGCTAAAAATAAATTGCAGTAATATCACATATTGATATTATATCGATACCTATACCGCTCTTGGATTAAGATTTTGCAAAGCATTACGAGGAAGGTATTTACGTGCGTGTAATATTTGACGAAAAAGGATTCCGCGGTCTCAATTAATAACGGGATCATTTTTTTTTACAGAAATAACTTTTTCACGCTATAGAACACAAAAGATCGAAATAGTTTCTCTTTGTGCAGCGCATGTGATTATCTTAGAATGATTGACTAATTGAGAGATTCTTGTTTTTACTGATGCATGTCTGTAGTGTTGTATCCGGTAAATGTATTGACCACGTGTGGAGAGAACATATGTTGATCATGCACTTCCATGAGGATAAAAGCGAGTAATCGATATTGCAGACTATTTCACATCATAGTAAGAACTGGTGCTTACACTTGTGGACACGAACCAAGCGAGATGAACTACAAGGTGAGAAATTTAAAAGGTTTAATTGCTCTTTAATCAGTCAAATGTCTACTCACTTAAGGCAAGGACCTAATTTACCAGGGACGATATCGTTTTCAACGAGAAAAGTTTTTCGAGAGTTGTTCATCTTTGTAAAAATATGAAGTGAGAGCCTTTCCACTCGTTTTAATTGCTTAACAAGGTTTGAATGATTTTCGTCGGTCCAATTAGTCATTTTACCGACATCGAAGTTAGCAACATTTCCCTGTAATCATTATTTTCTCTTTCCTCGCGGAGTCTCGATTTAGTTATGACCTTTCTCCTCACCTGAGAGGGGCCTGGGTAAGCTTGTCGGAGTCTACCTTTTGTTTCACTCGGAGTCCGCAAGCTCCTTAGCCAGCGGATTGGCGCCAAACAGGGGCTTTTTTATTAAGACTGTAAGAGGTGAAGCTATTAATATATACTGAGCATTTTGTCTTCTTTTTCCACAATTGTAGATAAACTGGATAAGCTTCGTATTGATAATATGGATGCTAACCACGTCGTTACAAATCGAGGCGTATTTCGTTCCTTGTAGCCCGCTTTCACCACCCAGTAGCTGTAAAATTAACGAGGTTCCCAGAAGGCAGATCTCCTTTCATATTTGCGGCGATCAACTCAAAACAGCCTATGAAGTGGCATGCAGATGGATGCGAAGGAAAAGAAGTGGTACGGTATTTTATTTCATAAGTCTACAGCTACTTTAAAGATTGGTGTCACAAACAGCGAATGGTTCACATGAAGTGAGGTGCATCCAGGACTGAAAGAAGTAACGAAAGATACTGAAAAAATATATTAATGGATCATTCATCATCTATCTCTGGGTAGTTATTTATCGCACACTGGTGGTTTTCATGCCGGAACGAACAGTCATCTCTAATTTTTGACAGAGTTTAATGGGAAGGGGGTGGGGTGGGGTGGGGAGGGACAAAATGCGTTGTTCGTTGTCAACCATCCTTGTTCCTATTCGTTCTCGCCCCCCACGTCGATTCTTGAAGTCCCAAGAAACTCACCAAAATAAAACTCTCACGCCTACGAACTCCAAGAGTTTTCTTGGAGAGCAGGGCAAAGGAGAATGCTTAGTGACGACGGACCAGTTTGTTGGTGGGAAAATTATTCGCATAACAAAAACAAAGTGTGTACCCAGTCAATCTTGCTTATTGATAGCAAGCTATCTCGTAACCAGCATAAGCGATCATTTTAAAACTTCCCTACCTGTAAATGCCCCGAAACAATTTCATTAATTCCATATCAAAATACAAAACTTTTATTTTTCATCAAGTGCTACTTTGTTTTTCTTTCAGTAAAACCAAGAGCCAGCAAAGTAATCCTGGACAAGCAAAGAGCTGATGGATTTCTCACTTCACATCACGTGACTAAAAGGAGCTTCAACGTTGTGGAGGAGTGCTGTCAAGAGGGCTGTGTATGGGAAGAAATTTTAGAATATTGCAAACCATAATTTTAAAATGGAAAATCGGCCAGAAGAAAATACCTCAAAAAGTATGTTTAGTTCTCGGTTGAACACGACTGCGATGAACGATTGCGATGAACAACCGCTCTCTACAACTTACAGGAAATGTAGACCATATGGTACTTTGCCACAACCAAATTAATATTAATTGTTACATAGACACAGATATTGGTCCTATTTCATATCAATCCGTTTAAATTATAGCTTTCGGGGGCAAAGGAAAAAAACGTTATAATGAGTCGGGTCGCAAGAATTTTGCTGATCCTCATCGAGAATGTTATGGCAAGTTTGTTTTATACAACTACTTGGATAGATGTTGAGCTGAGAACACATTGTAAAATTAAGGGATATCAAGATAGCAATTATCATTGGACTGGAAGTGACGATCTACTGATCGGTGATCCATTTACTCCCGCGATATGACCTGCAATTTTCTCATTTACTTGCGATAATTTTCTCCGGCAGGAGGGGGGGGGAGAGAGGGGGGGGAAGGGAGGGAGGGAGAAGAGAGGAACCGGAGGCTTTTGGTTGTGTCGTAATAATAATACACAATAATAAACCCCTAATGCTCTGTAGTATTCTGTGGCTAATGATCTCCCTCATTTACAGTCAAAAGTCCCCTCTTTATACTCTGTTAGAAACAACTGATCCATTCCTTCCCCTGAAAACCATGTGATCCCCCAAATTCTTCTTCCTGCCGAGAACCAACCCGAGGCATATATAGACTGACAAAGAGTTGGGCAAGACGCACGAGACTAGGTGATATTATACCACTAAAAAGAACAAGAAAACGCCCTCAGAGCCCAAGAAATCGCGATACTTCGAGTCTTTGTTCAAGATTATCGTCTACGTATGTGTCAGTTGGCTTGTACCGATTTCCAACGACCATGTCGTTGGAAAACCCAGTCGTTTACTCCATTATTTGCTGCCATAGTAGCTCCTCCAGATCGTAGAGAATGCAAACCAAACTTGGACGGTTCAACTCCGAGGCTTTGCAGGTCCTTGCGAAAAGGCCTTCTAAAAGTAGAGTAACTAATTGGCTTATCGGGGGCAACAAGCTTACAAGAGCCCTTCCCTTTAGAAATGGGCTTGAAAATAACGTCTTTCGAATCAGGTGGTACCTTAAACATAGCTAAATACCTCTTAAGCAACTCAACGGGGAATGCAAAACCAGACAATTGTGAGATAACGACTTCGTCGCCTTTACGGAGCTGGTCATTCTTGCTTTTCAAAACCTTAATAACCATGAAGCCTTTTTTAAAGGAAATATCACTTCTTCTAATTCTAGGCACATCGTCAAACCTAAAGAAACCGGCAAAAGATAAAACATACATGGTAACATTACGCAACTCTACAGGATTGTCTAGGTCTGATTTGTTAATAATGTCGTGGATTGAAGTGGCCGAAATAGGTTCTTTACGCCTAAGGACGCTTGTACCAAGAACTCTTTTGGACGCCGTCCTCAGAGCTTCAACAATTGGATCATCAGTTGGGGAGGGGATTCCTGCCAGGTCATGGGCCCATTTTAAGTCATAGAAAGCAGAATCGACCGCGCCAGGAGAGTGGGTTTTCTCTATAAGATGTTGTAAATACAAAGCCACATGAAAAGGGCTAGCGAGAAAGGCTTTCCCGTTTAACTTATAATTATCGTTTGCAAACTGCTTCCATCTGCGGAAAGCACAGTTGTTTACTACAACGGTTCCATTTGCTTTGGAAGACAGTCGTCTTCAGTCGATCTTTCAGTCCCTCAAGCAAGTCGACAAGGGGTCCGTCCCGGGATTCCCAAAATCCAGAATGAAAAATATCTAAACGAGAGATTAAATAAGGTAAAGTGAGGAGTACAATCCTACAAAAAATAACTAAATAAATAGATAAACAAAAATAGAATAACTGGGAATAATCAAACTCCAACAGAGAATACACAGACAACTGGAATTTGTAAAATGGACCACGAATGGGTTCCTTTAATTTCAAACAATTCTGAATAAATTCTTGACACAAACTCGTGTCATAACACGATATTGACGAGCAATACTATGACTTAAGTCACTTCGGGCCTGATTAAGGGTCAAACAACCCATAACCTAAGTACAAAGAACTTAGAGGAATTACGCTGGGATTGACTGAAACAAAATCGCATTTGCACCCAGAAGAAAAAACTTCCGCGGTAAATACAAACGCCTGCGGGGCTAATTACAACGATCACAGTCTTTACTGAACTTCGTACAGGAGCCTGCGTAAGCGCAGGGAGATCTGGGGCGGCGAAGATCGATTCGAAGGGCTATAACATCAAAGTTCTGGAGCCGAAAAGCGAGTTTCGCGCTTTCCCTTTGATAAAGAGACCTGGGAACTTCGGTGAAAACACCCAGTCAATTACGAAACTGTTCCAGTGTACACCGTCTCTACAAAATACAGTCCAGAAGCAAGAGGACCTCCACAAGGGAAGGATAACCGTTCCTTCTCGCCTTACACAGTTCCATGTCCTTTACCACTCTAATTAATAGGCACACTGGAGGACAAATTCAATTATTATCGTGCCTCCAATCTTGGCAGAATGCATCTACTGCAGCACAGCCAGTCTGAAAAAATCTGGTGTTAAATCTTGGTACCTTAGCATTATAGGAACAAGCAAATCTGTCAACGGAGTGGGGCCCCCAAAATAGGTCAATTCTTTGAAAGATAGCTTCGTTAATGGTATAGTCATCCTGATCGGTTAATTTGCTCATTGCATAAGCCCTAGCATTAAGCTCCCTAGGAATCCACTTGACCTCCAGTGATATGTGAAACTTAAGACATATTTGAAAAGTTAGGAGGGCCAATTGGTGCAGGTCAGCTTTCCTACAACCGTTTTGAAGAATAGATTCGACGTTCTGGTTATCGGAACCAAATAACCTCAACACCAGAAAATGACTCGCGAAAGCTTCCAAGGCGAGGCAAACAGCTTTGAGTTCTTCAAGTGGAACTTTGGGTACGCTCTACAGGAGACCAGTTCTGATGAAATACTAAATTCGAGTTCTTTACGAAAGCACCAGAAGCCGAATTGGAGGCATCTGAAAAGGTGACCTTGACTGGGACTGGACCAACCAACAAACCTTGCTATTGAGGAATACCACGTTGTTCTTCCAGAAACTGATTTCTGAAAGAGAGTCGTCTGAGAGAAAACTTCGCTTTCCCAAGAGCGCGCCGAATTCACGACCGAGAAAAGAAACCTAGTCATAATACGGGCAACAGAACCCACACAGGGAGAGAGGGAAGTTATTTGACCCGTTACGGTAGCCACTCTTTTCACGTGCACTTTCTGGGGAGGTTGACAAGACACCAGCTCAACAAGGCCAGCGTTTAACTTTTCAATGCGTTCGTCGGTTGCTTTTATAGTCCCATCTGTAGTGTCGAGAACCACACCCAACCAGGTGATAACCTGGACAGGCTCCCAAAGGGACTTTACCTCATTAGGAACAAATCGAAACTTGAGTAAATCTGTCGTCGTCATATAGGGATGCCCTGGCTCCTCCACGATTTCTGTAATGGCTTCAAAATTGATGTGAAAATATACGGAGCTGAAGAGAGCCCGAAAGGGAGCACACAGAATGGACGACCCCTAAATTTCAATGTGGTGATGATCAGACTTAAGGTCAAATTTAAACAAGCAATAATTATGATCAAATAACTGCGTAGCGACGCCCAGATCTTCGCATTTAAACTTCTGCTTGTATATAAACTGGTTGACATGTCGAAGATCCAAAATGAGCCTTTGCCTTCCCGAACTACGGGTAGAAACTGAACGCGAGTTGATGATATGGGGCTTACAAGCAAGTTCTTCAATTAGGTCCAAACGAAGTAAATTGTTGACAGTTTGCGAAACAAAATCACTATTCTCACGAGCAGAAGTATTGTTTCTCTTAGCAAAAGGTGTTGGAAGTTGGAAGAAGGGAATTTTTTAACCCTGCATAATAACATTCAGGACGAATTGCGAAACTTCCAAAGTACGCCAAAAATCCACAAATTCTCCAAGTCTTCCACGTACAGATGGATAAGACAAATCAACTGCAAGAGAGTCTGAATCTTTTAAGGAATCTAACAGGAAAGAATCAGCACAAGCGGCAACGCTAGGATCCGAGTCAATGGCACTGCCTAATTCTGATTGCGAAGGCAAACTACTAGCTTCAATATTAACTGAGGAAAGAACTACACCTGAGTTATGGCGGTCGTCTAGTCACTTTATTGATGTATTTTGCTGGGCCATTGTTGGACAGGATGCGCGCCAGTGGCCAGTGGCCAGGTTTACCACGCGCAAAACATGTTCACGGGTTTGGGTCGAGGCGAAAAACCAGGCACAAGTGCGGGAATAGGCCGCGGTTGGCTTGAAACGGTAGACTCTGCCGGCGCCGAAGATTTCTTCTTCTTTAATGCGTTGACAAAAGTACGAGCGCGCGATTTAGCCTTGAATATCCGCTTCTCATCATCCGAGTCATCTGCCAAACTGTGCTTTTTATATTCATCGACCGTAGCCCATCCGTAATCTGACTTGTCTGTCAGTAGGATGTGTTTCTGCCGCTCAGAAATTAGTGTCTCACCTTCTTCTAAGCTGGTTTTGACCTTCTCGAGCTGTGAATTTTCGGCGGCGGATTTGGCGCTGTCAAGCGTCTCGCTCAGTTTCTGGTTAAACTTGAATTGGTCCTCGTTTGCCTTTTTCTTAAATTTATGCGACTCGTTGAATTTGAGGCGCTTGATCTCCTTCATCTGGCTTTCCGCCGAGTCTTCGTTCGACCGTTTGATCTGAGAAACGGTCTGCTCTAAGAGGCCGTTGAAAGAAGCGAGAAGGTTGTCATTGTTAGCCTTGATTAGTGCTTCCACGTCTTCTTTCTCGATCGACATGGCGACAGCGAGAAGGAAAGACCAGAAAAAGATCACTAAATTTGTCATCAGCCAGAGGTGGACGGTTTTGTTCGAAGGCCTAGGTGGACATCACGTGCAATACTCCCCCTTATATAGCCAGAGCATCATTACCCATGATGCTCGGGCCTTAGGCCCAGGCCTTGTCGTATCTCGTGCCAACAAAATATTTATTTCTGCCTTATTCGCAGACTCAATCGTCAAAAATAATAATTTTTTTATGTCACCTGTGTCCGATAGAAAGAGAAAATCCAGATATTTTAAATCATTTTAGCGCGTGGACAAATCCCTATAAACAGGAGAACGGTTAGGGATGGCGACGTATTTCTCCTTACAATATCACCCCGCATCAAACATTAAGGTGACGAGAATAAAGGAAATGATCACCAACTAAAAAAACTCTTGAATATTAAACAAATTCTTCATGTTAGCAGCTCAGAAAGGAAACGTAGAAAGAACGTTATGGAGAATATGCATACTGATGTTAGGATGTGAAGGGTTAACACCGTAAGTGACAAACTTGAAAAGGACTTTGCTCCCCTCGATAGTGATGCATAAAATGGCTCAACCCCAGACCCAGAAAACCCACCCTGTCAGAGCTTATTCCAGTCTCTTTATCATGAAGTGATATTTCTCCACCGGGATGGGGTGCTATTGCATCGCACTTTACCTCCCAGCTCTTGGTGAGGTGATCCTGCCAGTTCAAGGTAAAGTCCTTATGGGGAGAGGTACTGCGGGAGGGAAGTGCTCACTTAAGAAAATGACAAAACGATCCCTAACCCAGATTTACCGAGCCGGAGTCCGGCGCATTCCGGCTTAGCGCTTGATCATTGCGTGTCCATAGCCATAGTAGTTATCTGTAGCAGTTTAACCAAATAAGGTCCCAAATGGCAGTGCAAAGCAATTCCTTCACTTGGATCGAGTTAAACAATTTTGTCACATTAGGTTACTTCTAATTGTTGAAACCTCGGTGAACACTTCATTAAAGGTTTCAACAGAATTTTATGTGACTAAGGCGAAAATACGCTTGTAAAACGCCAGCCTGAAGTTCAAACTTTTGAAAATCAAGATCTAACTATAACACCATTGGTCGTAGAGTTCTTGACCGCAACGCACCATTGCGAAAAGCGTCCATGAATACAACTGCGTCCGATTTAAGCTATGCGTGCTCCAAAAGTTGCAGCATTACCAAGAATATTGAGGCATCAAATCAGTAAGACCCACCACCATGTTAGCTTTAATCCTGATCTCAAAAGCCTATACTGACGCTAGTTTACAATTTACTTTCCCTTTATTTTTCTTGTTCGCTTCGAAGGTCTAAAAACAATGTGCAATCTTCTCAAGGTATCAGTTACGTCTGCGGTCGTGCATGGGGCCCATCCATTTTCTGACAGATTTGGGTGTTAGCCTTTATCAGCACAAACGGTGAGCCAATTGGGAGGCGAATGGCTTCTGTGGCATCTCCATCCGTACGGCAGCAATATTCGATGCGAGTGTTATGGTCGTAATAACCTTCCGGAAGCGTGCCACCTCTTTTGTTATTGTTATTGTTATCTTCATCATCCCAACGAACGTATGCCTCCTCGAAATCTGTGCAACAAATATTTATCGCAGCATCACGCTTAAATTGAATAATTTATTTGAGGGAAGATGTGAGGTACGACAACTATAATTTATCATTTCACAATTACGTCAGTTGAACACAACAGGGCAACGGAGTGCGAAAAGTATGCGACGGTATTATATTGCAGAATAGGGAAAAACACGGGCGGAAAGTGGAGCAAAAAAATGGCCGCGCTGAACGCTTCAACCTTTGATGTCTTTCAGGTTTTTCGGCTTGCACTTTTAAGCAACGACTGGACTTTTAAGCGTAACAGATATTTTTGTTGGTAATAAAAAACACTTATAGAAATGGTATCATTTTCATTGTTTCCGTCTTACGCGATCAATACGTTGTTGAGGCAAAGCCGTAAGAAGCATTCGTAAAACTGGAGGCCTAGAAAATGAAATAAAAGCGGAATAAAAAACCCTTATTCGATGGTTTAACATATAAAATAAACGGAAATTTTGCTTATCACCGGTCTTTCTTTGCCCCAGTATCGCCGAGAGTAAATTACCTTTCCTTGGTCTCTGTTACGTTGTTCAAGATGTTGGGAACAGCTTTTCGTTGTTATGTTGATAAAAAAGTAATCATTGATTGTGAAAAGAATAACACGCTGATTTACATTTGCGTATCAATATCAAGGTTGACTAGTAACACTTCTTAAAAACAACAGATTGCGTGGAATTTTCGGCAAGTAACGCTGGTCTCGCAATGTCAATTTATCTCTTGAAGAGTCTCAAAATCTCGATAAGTTTTCTTTCAAGACTGAGTGATATGGTTTAAAGGGAATTTTCTTGCTGACTTCTGAATCTTCAACCGCAGGTCGACTCAGGAAATGTCATATCACTGGATTATTGACGTTCAAAACTTACCGATATCTGATTAGGAATTCCCCCCACTAGTTGCCCTCCCATTCCTTGTAAATAGCATCGTATCAAAATAACACCCTCAGCCGATAACGTTTTGCTGGATTATAACTATACTGACAAATATTTCGACTGTGTAATTCACATTTAGAGGATTAAAATAATTTTTGGAGTACCATCTATATTGTAAAGCAAGAAATTATTTGAGAGTGTAATAATATTTTTCTTGATGCATTTGGCTTGCGTACACGGCTGTTCTGTGAGAGTTTCGTGTGGCGGAGCTCAAAGAGGAGTGGCAAGGAATGCATGGCATTCTCAGTTCTTTCGAACGCCTAAGGAAACCGCTAGCTACGCACACTTGTTTTGTTTTGCGCAATTCGTGACTCAGCTTAAATGAATGCACCAGTATATAAAAGAGGGCATAAAATCGGTATCTAAACTCCAATATATTTTCTCAGGCCCACGGAAAGCGATGAATATTAATAAAAGCGACAAAAAGATCGCGAATTGCGCGCGCAGGAGACGTTTGTCGTAAAACGGTTTGGGAACTAAAAGAAAAAAGATGCCTGAGGGAAAATTAACGATATAATTGTTTTACAATTAGTTATATCGATTGAATTAGAAGTTTGAGCAACATCGTTAACTGAATTTACTTTTTTAATAATCGTTTTTTCTTGTAATATTTTTTTTCACGCATCAAGATGGAATTTCTTGTATGCGCTCGCTTCATAACTTTTTTATTTATTTCAAAAAATCAAAAACAAGTTGTGAGGTTTCCTTTGTAAGTGCAATGTTTGATCATTAACTCGATGCTCTAGTTTAAGCAGGTTTAAATCTCGTGCTATTTCAGACTTCGTCAGAGCGAACTAACTAGACAGAAAGTTAGTTGTGATATCGCAATGATGTTTTAAACATCAAGGAAAACCTTAAGAGAAACACATGAAAAGCGAAAATTGGCAAGGGTAAGTTAAATGAGAGACGATTAGAACAGCCTGGATTAAATTCCAACAGGAAAACTTGCAATTAGCGCACTATTCCCAGTGAGAAGAAGATCTCTAGTTAATCACACTTGAAAATCTGAGGATCTGCTTATCACTTAGGGTCATGTGCCAAAATGGCTTCTCGATCGGGAATTTGAAGTTTTCTAATCTTGCAAAGCAACATCAACTCGCCATCAGTTAGAATCGACAAGCGCCAAAACCGTTAGATACATGTTTTGGTCGTATTTTCATGCACACATCTCACAAAGCTTGAAAATACTTGAAAGGCTCATCATGCCTGACATAGGATTTGTTTTGCCATACAGAACAACGCAAAAACATTAAGAGCTAAAAATAAATCGCAGTAATATCACATATTGATATTACATCGATACCTATACTGCTCTTGGATTAAGATTTTGCAAAACATTACGAGGAAGGTGTTTACGGGCGTATAATATGTGACGAAAAAGGATTCCGCGGCCTCAATTAATAACGGAATCATTTTTAACAGAAATAACTTTTTTACGCTATAGAACACAAAAGATCGAAACAGTTTCTCTTTGTGCAGCGCATGTGATTATCTAAGAATGATTGACTGATTGGAAGAATTTTGTTTTTGCTGATGCCTGTCTGTTGTTGTCCCGCAAAATGTATTGACCATGTGTGGAGAGAATATTTGTTGATCATATACCTCCATGAGGATAAAAGTGAGTAATCTATAAAACTATTTCACATCATAGTAAGAACTGGTGCTTACACTTGTGGACACGAACCAAGCGAGATGAGCTACAAGGTGAGAAATTTAAAAGGTTTTATTGCTCTTTAATCAGTTAAATGTCTACTCACTTAAGGCAAGGACCTAATTTACCAGGGACGACATCGTTTTCAATGAGAAAAGTTTTTCTAGAGTTGTTCATCTTTGTAAAACTACGAAGTGAGAGCCTTTCCGCTCGTTTTAATTGCTTAACAAGGTTTGAATGATTTTCCTCTGTCCAATTAGTCATTTTGCCGACATCGAAGTTAGCAACTTTTCCCTGTAGTTATTATTTCTCTTTCCTCGCGGAGCTTCGATTAAGCTATGATCTTTCTCCTCTTTCTATTTCTCCTCACTTGAGAGGGGCCTGGGTAAGCTTGTCGGAGTCTAACTTTTGTTTTACCCGGAGTCCGCAAGCTTCTTAGCCAGCTCCTAAGACTATAAGAGGTGAAGCTATTAATGGACACTGAGCATTTTGTCTTCTTTTTCCACAATTGCAGATAAACTGGATAAGCTTCGTATTTATAATATGGATGCTAACCACGTCGTTACAAATCGAGGCGTCTTTCTTTCCTTGTACCCCGCTTTCACCACCTGATCGCTGCCGTAAAATTGACGAGATTTCCGGAAAGCAGGTCTCCTTTCATATTTGCGGCGTTCAACTCACAACAGCTTTAGTTAGGTTCTGCAGATTGCGAAGGAAAAGAAATGGTACGGTATTTTGTTTCATAAGTCTACAGCTACTTTAAAGACTGGTGTCATAAACTGCGAATGGTTCACATGAAGTGAAGTAACGAAAGATAAAAAATGTGTTTATGGATCATTCATCATTTACCACTGGGTAGTTATTTATCGCACACTGGTGGTTTTCATGGGTAACGAACAGTCTCACCAAAAAAACTCACCAAAATAAGACTCTCACGCCTACGAACTCCAGGAATTTTCTTGGAGAGCAGGGCAAAGGAGAATGCTCAGTGACGACGGACCGGGTCGTTGGTGGGAAAATTATTCACATAACAAAAACAAAGCGTGTACCCAGTCCATCTTGCTTGTTGATAGCAAGCAATCCCGTAACCAGCATAAGCGATCATTTTAAAACTTCCTTACCTATAAATGCCCAGAAACAATTTTCATTAATTCGATATCAAAATATATAACTATTATTTTCCATTAAGTGCTACTTTGTTTTCCTTCAGTAAAACCAAGAGACAGCAAAGTAATCCTGGACAAGCAAAGAGCTGACGGATTTCTCACTTCACAGCAGGTGACTAAAAGGAACTTCGACCTTGTAGAAGAGTGCTGTCGAGAGGGCTGTGTGTTGGAAGAACTTTTGGAATATTGCAAATATTTTTGAAATGGAAAATCGGCCAGAAGAAAATACCTTAAAAAGTATGTTTAGTTCTCGGTTGAACGCGGTTGCGATGAACAACCGCTCTCTACAACTTAAGGGAAATGTAGACCATATGGTACTTTGCCGCAACCAAATTAATATTAATTTTTAATTTTTGGTCCCATTTAATCTCAGTTTATTTAAATTATAGCTTTCGGGGGCAAAGGAAAAAAACGTTATAATGAGTCGGGTCGCGATTATTCTGCTGATCCTCATCGAGAATGTTATGACAAGTTCGTTTTATACAACTACTTGGATAGATGTTGAGCTGAGAACGCATTGTAAAGTTAGGGGATATCAAGATAGCAATTATCATAGAACCGGAAGTGACGATCTACTGATCGGTGATCCATTTACTCCTGCGATATGACCTGAAATTTCCTCATTTAGCAGCAATAATTTTCTGTTTAGGACCAATTAATAATGGGGAGAGAGAGAGGGGGGGAGAGAGAGAGTATACAATAATAAACTCCTAATGCTCTGTAGTATTATGTAGCTAATTCCTCTGACCTCCCCCTGGTGATTGATAATCACTGTTCCGTTAGTTAGGAGAAATTGGTGTTTGGTGTTTGGTGTTAAATAAATTAGCCATCATTAGATTACTGTGTAACCTTTGTTGTTTACCTTGATTGTTAAGAATCGAAAAATTGTAATTATTTAGCCGTTCAATGATTAACTAGTTGTCTAGGTGATTTTCGCGAATTTACCGCTTAGTTGTATCGCGGGCGCATTTTTCCCACGTGCGAGACGAAGGAAGACATGCTGATTTGTGAGACTTCGCTGTTCGTTCTAACGTGAAATTAAAAGGTGAAATTTATTGCTCTGTGTAACGACCCCTTTGGATACTGACCGTTCTGCTGATTGAGAACATTGATAGTGTTACAGAAATAGTTTCTTGCCTTCATTTTTTTATGTCACCTGTGTCCGATACAAAGAGAAAATCCCGATATTTTAAATCACTTTGGCGCATGGACATAAACATAAAAACGGTTAGGGATGGCGACGTATTTCTCCTTACAATATCACCCCCGCATCAAACATTAAGGTCACGAGAATAAAGGAAATGATCACCAACTAAAAAAACTCTTGAATAGTAAACAAATTCTCCATGTCAGCAGCTCAGAAAGGAAACGTAGAGAGAACAGTATGGAGAATATGCATACTGATGTTAGGATGTGAAGGGTTAACACCGTAAGTGACAAACTTGAAAAGGACTTTGCTCCCCTCGATAGTGATGCATAAAATGGCTCAGCCCCAGACCCAGAAAACCCACCCTGTCAGAGCTTATTCCAGTCTCTTTATCTCGAAGTGATGCTTCTCCACCTAGATGGGGTGCTATTGCATCGCATTCTATCTCCCACTGCTTGGTCGGGTGATCCTGCCAGTTCAAGGTAAAGTCCTTATGGGGAGAGGTACTGCGGGAGGGAAGTGCTCACTTAAGAAAATGACAAAACGATCCCTAACCCAGATTTACCAAGCCGGAGTCCAGCGCATTCCGGCTTAGCGCTTGATCATTGCGTGTCCATAGTCATAGATTGTTGTAGCTATCTGTAGCAGTTTTACCAAATAAAGTCCCAAATGGCAGTGCAAAGTAATTCCTTCACTGGGATGGAGTTAAACAATTTTGTCACATTAAGTTACTTCAAACTGTTGACACCTTGGTGAACACTTCATTAAAGGTTTCAACATAATTTTATGTGAGTAAGGCGAAAATACGCTTGTAAAACGTAGTTTGCAGGCCAGCCTGAAGTTCAAAACTTTTAAAAATCAAGATCTAACTATAACACCATTGGTCGTAGGGTTCTTGGCCATTGAGAAAGGCGAACTTGAATACAACTGCGTCCGATTTAAGCTGTGCGTGCTCCAAAAGTTGCAGCATTACCAAGAATATTGAGGCATCAAATCAGTAAGACCCACCACCATGTTAGCTTTAATTTCTGATCTCAAAAACGTACACTGACGCTAGTTTACAATTTACTTTCCCTTAATTTTATTGTTCGCTTCTAATGTCTAAAAACAAGGCGAAATCTTCTTGAGGCATCAGATAGGTCTGTAATAACAGTAGTGAACTTTTATATTACGGTTTGAACCCAACTCAGCATTGATCGGTCCGTGAATGTTGGCTTGCGGATCTTTATCCTCGCTGTCCCAGGCAAAGTACTCTGATCTATGTGTCATTTGACAGATGTGCCTTTATCGCACAAACGGCGAGCCAGTTAAATCATCTTGGCATCTCCATCCGTACGGCAGCAGTATTCGATGCGAGTGTTATGGTCGTAATAACCTTCCGGAAGCGTGCCACCTCTTTTGTTTTTGTTCTTGCGATCTTCATCATCCCAACGAAATTTATCAAATATTTTTCTTAAATTAAATCAATTACGACAACTATAATTTATCATTTCACAATTACGTCAGTTGAACACAACAGGGTAACGGAGTGCGAAAAGTATGCGACGGTATTATATTCTAGAACAGGGGAAAAACACGGGCGGAAAACGGAGCAAAAAAATGGCCGCACTGAACGCTTCAACCTTTGATGTCTTTCAGGTTTTTCGGCTTGCACTTTTAAGCAACGACTGAACTTTTAAGCCTAACAAATATTTTTGTTGGTAATAAAAAACACTTATAGAAATGGTATCATTTTCATTGTTTCCGTTTTACGCGATCAATACGTTGTTGGGGCAAAGCCGTAAGAAGCATTCGTAAAACTGGAGGCCTGGATGAAATGAAAATAAAAGGCGAAAATAAAATGAAATAAAAGCGGAATAAAAAACCCTTATTCGATGGTTTAACATATAAAATAAACGGAAATTTTGCTTATCACCGGTCTTTCTTTGCCCCAACTCGCAAAATATCCGCGCGTATTATTTGTGAAACCGTCGAATAATGTGCAGGAATAATACTTCAAAGAGCGAAAAATTCTGGTTGAAATCAATGTTTTTATCTTTCTTAGGGGTAGGTCATGTGATCAATTGGTTTAAGATCTAAACTTCAGGAATGAAAATACATGTTAAGGCTGCAGACGGCTATATTTTTGGAAAGAGTCCTACCGGAGGATCTGAGGCACGGATCACGGCGGAAAAAGTGACGAATCACGGATAACGGATATCGAAATTTTTGTTGACCGAATTATGAAAGATAAGCATGTTACATAATTTATACGGCTCGTGAGCAAAGAAACTTCGCCATGTTCACCATAAAACAATAAGAAAAGTCCAAAATTTTTTAATATTTTCATTAAAAAAAGGACTTTCTGAACTAACCTGCGGGGCAATATTCTTTTTTGAAGATGCAGTATTTTCCTTCAGGCCATGGCAAATTATATGTGGATGTTCGAAACCTTATCTTCATACAGAACTTTTGCTCCATGTTACTTTTGCCAACATGTCCCGCCAAATCGTAGGGGTTTGACCAATAATTGTTTGGGTCTTTATCTTCAGTGTCGTGGTATCGCCAGCCCGTGCGCCAAAAATATCCGTTTGGACATCCTGATTTTGCCATAGGAAGTCCATATTTGCCCAGTGGCCAAGTTAGAGGAATGCGGACTGTAGGATCTAACAAAATTCCAAGAAACCTTATAAGACGACAACTCTTTAACATAGTTACAGAGTTGCACGTTATTTTAGCCGAGGGAATACGCACTTAAGAATTAATGACGTTGCTACCCAAGATAATGTTTTTTCACCGAAGCTAAAAAATTTGTGCTTTCTTAATGATATTTGGAAAAAGGAGAGAAAAAGTCTTTTGAACATGACTTTTCAGTCAACAAAAGAAAAAAAAAATCTAGAAATCTAGGAAGTAAGTTCAATGATTCTTAAATTGTTCAAAACAGTAGAGCAAAAAAACGTCAATGTTTTCAAAATAAAGACGTTTAAGCCTGTTCAGAACACGATTAATTTCTTGTTGGCTACAAAATACCTTCCAGCTCAAGTTTATGTTTTTAGTCAAAATCATCGAGCAGTGGATTGTTCAGTCAATATTAGTCATGCAGTTGAAAGCTTTTCATATCACCATATGATTATGTGTTCGAAAATCTTTCAAAATACTACGTCAGCACTTTTCAGATTTCAGACCTATCTATCTCGAAAACTACACCAAGTTTCTTTTGGCTACACCAAGATTCTTTTGGAATTTTGAAAGCTCAAGATCAGATTTATTTCATAAGCATAGGCATCGGCCAGGAAAAATTAGATCCCAATCATCAGAAGATGACGAAGAGGGTTAATGAGGATCTTTACGAATATCATTCAAAAATACATCAAAATAGCTATTACCTGATTGTTAACGTTACAAAAGTAACACGAACGTTTCTAGCATCTATATATACGTGATGATACCTCGAGGATACGTTTTAGCTCCTTCTAAGCCTGGGTATTCTTTCAAAATCTTTTTCACGTTCGTCCTCCGTTGTGCCAAATTCTGACATTGGTATTTCTTACTGAGTGCCTTGAAGAAGCTGTCGTCAAATGCCCGGTCAATGGAAATCAACTTCAATCCAATGGGCTCAGGCTTGTTTCGTGTACCACACCGAAACACAACTTTTTCACTTCCAAATGAAATGCCACTTGTCATGGATGCTGTGAACCTTTCAAAGTCAATGGAGACAGAGCTACTAAACCCTTTGTACCCGCCAGACACAGACATCGCGGCTTTCAGCTAAGGGAAAGAAACAAAAAAGTAAGAGCGAAAAACATACAAACTCGATGTGGAAAAGTGCTTCGATAACACTTATAACACGCGGGGAGCCAGTTTTCATGTTTTACTTTCGATTTCGTTGTAGTCTGTAACGATTTATTGGTAATTTTTCACACTGTGTATTTTTGAGCCAATATGAATCAGTTATCATTAAAAGGCATCAAGGAATAAAAGAAGTCCATAAAGAACAAAACTTATGTTTTCAAAATTCAGATATGTTATCGGTACATAGCTCAACTTTAAATGTTCCATGGAGCTTTTATGGGCCAAAACCAGGTTGCTGGCTAATTTGTTATTGTTATCAGAATGGCTCTTTGGAGCATAACGGTAAGTTAACACTCGTCTAGGAGTTGGAACCAAAGGAAATGTGACTTTGCCTTTACCCTTTAACTCCCAAGATTTAAGAATTTGTTTATGCTTAGCGTACGTATATCGAGTAATGGATGCACACGGGAAGTTCGGAGAGCATGAAAAATGCGTAAGAGTAGCTAGAGGCGCAGCCGAGAGCAACTCCAGCTTCTTGAGTGCTCTCCAAACCTCCCATCCATAACATCCATAACTCGATATACGCACAGCTAAAAGCATGAGTAAATTCTTTTATAACAGAGCGACAACAAGGATCAGCACGAAGAAACCTTTTATTGTGATAGAGTACAAAATTCTCACAACGCACAGAGAAAAGTAAACAAACGTCCCTATTGGCTGGTCAAAAACACGCTACA